AATTCAATGATTGATTGATTCAATCTTCTCGTGTGATTAGATTTCATTCAATTAAGAATTCAATTGAGTTAAAATAAAAATTAACAATAAAATGTGAAAATTTTAAATGATTATTAAATTATAATTTTAATAATATTTTTATCATTTAATAATAATAATAATAATAATTATTATTATTATTATTATTATTATTTGAATCGGATTCAAATCTATGATTCCCTAATATCAAAAAAGATATAGTTATGGAGATATATATGGTAATGGAACATAGTGTTAATTTGAACATTCTCATTGATTGTTTTGGGAGATGTTTAGTTGCTTACAGGCAATATGAAACATGATCATGTCGACAAGCAAAGAAGCCGTGTTAGCAGCAGCAGACCCCACCGTCGCATCATCTTCACCTCTATACCAAACGCGTCACCCTTGATGGCCCTACCTCTCCGTACACAAAGATGCATGACATTTGTAGGGAAAAGCTCCCCCCTTAATCTGATCAACCTCCCAACAGGTGACAATTTGCATCAATCTTTTCTCTACTAGGGAACATACACATGCATATATGTGCTAGCTGCTGGGATTATTCCCAAATCAACGGCAAAATCCAGTTCATTTTTATTCTTAATTATGCTGTCTGTACTGTCGTAACGATCGAGGGTGTCGGTGGATTTCGTCCATAAAATCTTTTATTAATTGTACTTAAGATTTCCAAATAATTAAACCTTGCCTTCTTTATATGTTTACATATTTGTGACTTATAACAAATTTAATTATGAAAATTACAAAAGCTGTTTTCCCTTAAATAATATATATTATATAAAGTAGTAATTTGAAAATTAAAAAAAATTATAAATATTGAGATTTAAATTTTAATTTTATTATATAAATTAATTAAATTAAGTTTAAAAATTTAAGCAACATATGTTTTAACAAACACTTAGGTTGTATTTGGATATAACTGGGATCCCGTTTTAATGCGTTTATCTTTTTTTTTTTTTTTGATGCAATTGCACTGTAATAAATCGTTTGGATGTTATATTATCACTCTAACTGAAAAGAAATTTTTTTTTCATATTTCATTATCACCATAGCCCTATTTTTCATAAAAAATCCTGCTTTAATTTTTTTTTTACTTTTGAAACTATAGTGCACTCAATTTTTTTTTTCTCATTTTGTTCATTTTTTATTTTATAAATTTTATTTTGAATTTAAAAAATTATTTTGATATAAAAATAATAATAATAAATTTCAATTATTTGTTAATTTTATAAATATCAAATATATTATAAAATTTATTATATACAAATTTTAATTTAATAATATTTTTTTATTACACTTTATCTTACTATGTGCTACAGCTATATTTATATTCAAATACATATCTCATTATTAATTTTAATCTAACCATTACAATATCTAATTTTATTACTACAGTAATTAATTTCACCATCATTATTATTTTTAATTTTATTGAAATTAATCTCAGTGTTTATTTAAATAAACTCTTAATCGATAATATGAATTTTGTAGTTCAAAAAACACTGCAACCAAACAATTAATGTCATTATATAATATTTTATCCGTTGCAAAATAAATCTACACTAATTTTTTTTTTCATTTATAAATGGAAAATTTATACATGTTCTAGTTGTTTTTCATAAATATTTTCACGTTGCTGGTTGAATGTGACTAATTATAGCTAAAACACCAGAACATGACATCTCAATTTGAAGATGTAACTGGTCCCCCTTGATTTATGGATTTGAACATGAAGAAATACAAAACAAAAAAAAAAAAAAATTGACATACATGGGTCAACTCAACTCTAAACTCCAAAAAACTAATCAAACATTAAAGTTTGATGAATGTGTTGCAACATCACATTAAAGTTCTCAAATTTGTACTGATGCAACTGCAACACTCCAACTAAGAAACTAATTCAAGGAAGATTTTGAATGTTTGAAAAAGACATATTAAACCCAAATAATTTCATTTTACATACATAGAGTTTCAATCAGATAAATATATTTTCTTGATATTAGAAGATAAAGAATTCAAATTATGCTACATTTTCAAACATCGAACATGTACTAATTAATTGAGTCAATTTTTTACACGTGAAATTCGTGATTTATCTTATATGTAAAAAATTAAAAATAGAAGATATTCACGTTTAAAAAAAAAAAAAATTATAATAAGAGATATGCATGAATCTAAACTCTGAAATGAATCAATATTAAAGGACAATACAGACTACACAATGGCTGCAATAAAATTTCTTTAAAAGAGTACGGCTTCATATATTTTCAATCTATTTCTCACCAACTTCACAGCTTTTGAATTAAATTCTTAGGGTGCCAGATTGCCAATGTATTGTCTGAAATTTTTTTTTTCTTACATAAAAAAAAAGAAACCAAAACATAAATAAATGAAACACTCAGTGACTAATAATAATGAGAGAAGAAAGACATATTTCTGTTATTCATTTATTTCGCCGTGATGATGGGATGACTGAGAGACTAAAAGTGATCGAGAAGATCAAACGGTAATCAATCTTGACTGAATGTTTCACAAAAAATGAAATTAACCTGGTTCAAAGGGATGGGATGGTGGGTCAGACTCACTATTTTAATCACATTTTGGGACAATGTGTGGGTGTATCATAGATCTTCTGTGAGTTTTTCTGGATCAATGGTTGATTGGAAATTAATTGGAAGGTGTGACAAGACTCAAGTTTGCTCAATGAATTTGGTGGTCTTGATGAATAATCTTTGATTGATTTTCTTTTCTTTTTTCTTGAAAAATCAAGTGTTTCATCTCATGACAAGTTTTATTGCTTGCCTACTTTGTTGACCATGGCTATCAAACACTTACAGTGCCCTGTATATAGAGGTATTTTTTACAGTTTAAATTGTTCTTATGTTTCTTGTTTGCTTTCCAATGAGTGCAAAAACTTAAAAAAAAAAAAAAAAAAACTATATACAATTTGAAAGGGTTTTGTCATTTTTAATATTTATATTAAATAATTTAATTTTTTAATATCAATTAGACATCTTTTTGTTTAAAAAAGTAAACTTAATTCATTTATCAAGATATCGATTATTTTTTAAATCAGTTGATATATCATTAAAGTTGATATTTAGATGTTGTGAGTTTGAGAAAATTTATGTGGATAATATTCTATTTAATCAAGTAAATAGTAGGATAAAATAATTTAAAGATAAATTAAGAATTAAAATAACTATTTTTATGCACTAAAAAATTCATCAAATATTGTTTTAAATAATAAAAAAAGAACAATAAAATTTTGTGAGAGAAGAGTGAGGAAATGATTACCTTGCAGACAGGCAGTTAATAACCACCTAAATTTGTGATGGCTAAGACAAAGGGGGTGGCCCCTTTTCCTGATATTTTCCAACGATCAGATTTGCAGTTTCCCCTCTTGAAGTGGTCATTTTAACAGCTATTAGTCATTGTTGTTTTGGCAGGTTAAATCTTTCAATTACTATCCCATGTGTCTAAAACCTACAATTTTATTTTATAATTGCTATTGCAACCCATGATGGGATATATTAAGTTTCAGGCCTGTTGGCAGTGAAAATCATCGGCAGGAGGCCTTCTGGCCTCACCCACTGGTATGGACTCCACCATGCAAACACCCAATTTCAAATATTCTATGTTGGTCCCGCCATTTTCACTGCCAGCTGCTACTGCCACTGATCCATCCCCACCACCATTCCCCTTGCCTTCTCGGACCTCCGGCACCACCATTGCCACAGTTGCCGCCACCATGCAGAAGTATAAGATCATTCATCATTTCAGTTTACTTATACCATCAAGTCCTATCAGTCAAACAGAGAAAAAGCAAGCTGAAGTATATAATGATAGGGTCAAATTATGCATAAACTGAACCAAATGCAAACGTCTTTATTCTAATCTCCCATGATTACAGAATAGTAACATTCCAAATTGAAGACCAGCGGATGTGGAAGCCACTTGGTTACAATTCACAACCCACCAGCCCCGAATTGGTCCAGTCCTACCTATGATTGCCAACCATAATCAAACCTTCAAATCCTGTGAGAATCGTACCAACAATCTTCTAGATTAATGACTGTTTAACTTATCGTAATTGGGATTGATTGTAAAAAGAAGTGAAGTCCATTAAGGATATTTCCTTTTTTTTTTTTTTTTACTAATACTCCACACTTAATAAGTTCTCAATGATTGGCCAAAAAAAAGGTCTCGATGGGGTGTTTGAAGTAAATATTTAGTTTGGTTTACAAATAAAAATAATAACTGTCCCCACTTAAATTCTTTTTTTTCCCCCTCCTTTACCACTTCTTAAACTTAATTTTCCTTCAAATGTATGAATATGAATTGAATTCTTCACTGAACAAAAGGAATATATATATATAGAGAGAGAGTTAGACATATCACCATCTCTCTCCCTCCCTTCCCTTTCTTTCGTTCTTTCATTCTTCCTATCTCTCTTTCTCTATCTCTCTCTTTCATTGTTGAATGTTGATTAAGCCCCGAAGTTCTTGCTTATCTTCCGGTTAACCCTTCATAGAGAGATTCAAACAACTCATTTTCCACAAATGGATAAGAACCCTCTTATATTGTTAATCTGCTCCAATATTTAAGGGAAAATTCCCCCACAAAAACCTAATCTCTCTTTAGATAATTAGAGAGTAAATTTATCACTAAATCTCGGCCTAATCTCTCAAAACTCGGTCACCCTTCCCACTCACTCTCTCCTACAACATCGTACGTCACGGTTTTTCCCGTTAAAATAAAATGGGTTCTCTTCAGTTTTGCTCTTTCTCTTGAGCTTCACAGCCAGTTAATATGAATTTCGTTTTTTTTTTTTTTTTGTCCTTTGGATACTCAACCAAAACCTTAAACTCAAAACTAAGCTAGCTATTTAGTTGTGAAGCTACGTATAGCTAACTAAAGGATATAGTGGTATAAAAAAATTGTCTCTAATTGCTCTGTTTATGGACTGCTTGAGAGAAATAGAAGGAAAACAAGCTCATGATCCCATATTCGTTGAGAAGATGAATAAGTCGTCGTTGTCGTCGTCGTCGCGTTGCTTATGCGTTCCAGGGCCACTTATCGTTGGTGCAGGGCCTTCGGGTCTAGCCACAGCCGCTTGCCTGAAAGAGAAAGGTGTTCAGAGTGTAGTCCTAGAGAGATCTAACTGTATAGCGTCTTTATGGCAACTCAAGACCTATAATCGTCTACGCCTTCACTTGCCAAAGCAGTTTTGCGAACTCCCTCTGATGGGGTTCCCCAGTGATTTCCCTACTTACCCTACTAAGCAACAATTCGTGGACTACTTGGAAGCATACGCTAAGAAGTTCGATATTTGGCCCCGGTTCAATGAGACTGTTGCACAAGCTGAGTATGATGCCACACTCGGGTTTTGGCGTGTGAGAAGTGTTGGGTTAAACGGGAAGGAGATGGAATACGTGTGCCGCTGGCTGGTGGTGGCGACAGGAGAGAATGCGGAGGCGCTGGTGCCGGAGATCCAAGGAATTGGAGAATTTGGTGGGGACCTAAGGCATACAAGTTTGTATAAAAGTGGAGAGGACTTCAGAGGGAAAAGGGTTTTGGTGGTGGGGTGTGGGAATTCAGGAATGGAGGTGTGCTTGGATCTTTGCAATCACAATGCTAGGCCTTCACTTGTGGTCAGAGATAGAGTAAGAACTCTAAACCATGGCGCCTCCTATCTATCTCTTTCTTTTTCTTTTCTTTTTCATTTCTCTTAGCCTCTAAACATTAAAGCAAAAATCTCCCACTAAAGGATTTTCTTTTTTAATTTTTTGGGATTGTTTTATGATAAAGGTAATTGGAAGAAAAAAGAGTGTCTCAAGCTGTCCCCTCAGGTTTTGCAATTCTTGATTTAGTAAGGAAAAAAGGTAGATTTTGATTGAACAAGTTTTTCAATCTTAGGGTTTTTTTTTTCGTAGTAACCATAGTCGATTCTATAAAACATCATCCTCAAAAAATTGGAAACTTCGTTTTTCATTATCTAAATCTGCCCAACTATAAGATCCACCATGTCATTGACACTTATTTCATTCATGGAATTGCCAGAGTTTGTGGCTTCAAATTCCAAAGATTTATTCGATTAAAGACGACCAAAGCAATTTACTTATACTAAATATTAGTTGAAGAAAAAAAAAAGGAAAAAGCAAAAGATCTTTGATCTTTCACTTTCTTGGAATTCCCAAGCATGCGCAACATCGGTTAAAAAAACTTAGGATCTTATATATATATATATATATATATATATATATTGTCGTGATCATGAATCTCCAACCCTTTTTTCCCCTATGATTTATTTTTCCTCTGTAAAGACTAAAGAACGTAACTTCATAAGTATGGAGGAATGGCCTGGACGCAATTAGTCCACAGCCTCTCATCAAACTGTTATCTTTTATGTGTCCTTTCGTTTGAGTCCATTGAACTTTTTTTGGGTAAGTGAACTTTTTTTGTTTATGGAACTAAAGGTGCACGTCCTCCCACGAGAGATGCTGGGAAGATCAACTTTCGGGTTGTCCATGTGGCTGCTCAAGTGGCTGCCCATGCGGCTTGTCGACCGCTTCTTGCTGATAGTGGCCTGGTTGATGCTCGGCGATACTGCTCGCTTTGGATTGGACCGGCCATCGTTGGGTCCCCTTGAGCTCAAGAATCTGTCTGGAAAGACCCCCGTCTTGGATGTTGGCACGCTTGCCAAAATCAAAAGTGGAGACATTAAGGTACTTCTTGCCTTCTGTCATTGAAATCACATCACTTTTTTCCCGTTGGCAACTAAGTAACAAGTGTTTGATTGATCCTATAATACTGTGTTTCCACAATCGTACCACATGCTTTTCTTTTTGCCACAAGATAGTTTCGCAATTATTCCCCTCCAATTTTATTTATCCTGCAATACATTCCAAAACTTGCAAGCCTTTCCAATATAAAAAAGCTACGGCATTGAGGCTTATGATGGGGTTCATAAGAGGTTTTTTTAGTATAAGGTCATTTTCAAATTTTGTTTGAACTTAATTACCTTTTTTTTCACAATATATTTTTTAATTTTTAATATTGTCAGTATTTAAATTTTAATGATTGAAACTAAGATTTCAGTGTTTTATTAATAAAAAAAATTAAAAAGAATTAAAAAGGCGCGAGCTGTTAGTTTATAAAGTTGATGATTTACCAAGAATCGTGTTAATTTCATTCGAACATGTGCCCATTACTCAAGTAATGGCACCAAAGATGAAATATAGATTTCCAATATCCTTGTGGTTAGTGAAGAACAACCATCAGATAATTAACAGGAAAAGAAAACTCCTCTCATTATCAATTAAACTAACCCTTGCGAGTTCACAATCATTAGGAAATTTAATCATACTTCTTCTCAACTTCTATGGGAAGTAATTATTGAATTTTAATATTTTCTTTGCATTTGGTAGTTCTCTAATTGCTCAGTTCTAATTAATACGAGTAACTCTTATATTTATTTAAATTCCGAATTCTTACTTTAGAACTGTTGGTACCGTAGGTATGTCCAAGCATCAAGAGCCTAAAACGTCATGCTGTGGAGTTTGTCAATGGCAAAACTGAGAACTTTGATGCAATCATCTTAGCAACCGGTTATAAAAGCAACGTACCATCTTGGCTAAAGGTATACTCTTTATCTTTTTTCATTACACTTTGTTTCTTTTTATCTATATTTTCTAGATTCTTAAAGATATGTTAAAATTTTTCCGCAAGTTGATGCAAAAAGGCTAAAAAGAAAGAGCAATTGAATTTGTCAGGAAAGAGAGATGTTCTCAAAGAAAGATGGGTACCCTCGAAGGCCATTCCCTAATGGGTGGAAAGGTGAATGTGGGCTATACGCCGTGGGGTTCACTAAGCGTGGATTGCTAGGCACATCAATGGATGCCAAGAGGATAGCAGAAGACATTGAACGGTGTTGGAAAGAGGAGGCAAAACATCGTTTGGCCTTCACTCGTTCTCTTAATTTGCAGCAATCATCACCATGATTCTTTGTTTCTTCTCTTTTTTGGGGTTTTAAATTAAGATCTCAGAGATACACAGAGTTTTGGTTGAAGAAACTATATATACTACACATGTGCCGCTGTGGGTTTTGATTGATATATGTATTTCCACAGGCACATCAAAAAAATCGACGTTGCCTCCTCCAACTGAATAGGAGTAGAGAAAAGTTAAGGAAAAAGAGTTAAAAAAAAAGGTCTCAAAGAAGGGAGAGAGTTTTCTCAGTGAACCCTTATCAGGTATCTTCATTTGCAAGATTACACCAGAGCCATCTGCCGGGCCTTGCATGGGAAGGAGGAAGAAAGAAGTTAAATTTCAAAAGTTAAAAAGAAAATGGTTGTTGTTGTTTGGGTTGTGGGGGGGCGCAAACTATCTGTACATCTTGTACATAACTATTTTTCTCTAATTAGGAATGACTTTTTTTCTTTTAGTGAGAGAGGAAAAGAGATTCAGAACAAGGTTCTAGGGTGTTTGGTATTTGTTTTGCTAAGCGACATGATTGTGTTTTTAACCTATATTTTCCATGGGAGATTGAGAGTTACAAGTTATAACAATCTGATCTGATGCCTACCTTAGCTTCAGCCTTTCGTTTAGGCTTATTTTAGTTTTGGAGGGGTGTGTTTCGGGGTGACCTGAGAGTTTAGAATTTGAGATATTGAAGAAATGACTTTATGATATAAATGAAACCTTCACTTGCGTATTGAAGTGATCATTCGTTCTTTTGGTTTTTTTTTTTTTTTGGTGCTTGGTACAGTGAATGCTTCAAACCAAACATCGTTTGAAGGGTTAGAAAGATCTAGATCATGTTCCCTTTGTTTTTTGTCTTGAAGCAGTATCGCTGTCAAAATGATTTCATTCCATGTAGAAGCTCTGGACCACCACTTCTGATCAGAAGTTAAGCATGTGCATTTAAAAATGAGCAGACTCTTATTAATTGCAGAAGCAACACCACATTTTTGTAGAATCAATATTTCAGAATCAAGGTAGATATAAAATTAACTCATTACCCTACCTGAGAGCCGTGTTCTTGGCTATCACATTTTTAGGACAGATGGCTATCTAAAACCTACCTCCCTCTATCACCATAGCCTTCTACAGTAACTTAGGTTAGGTTTAAATTTCATTGCATTACATTAATTCAAATATCAACTTCAATAAAACTCATTTAACATAAAAAATTTTGTTAAAATTTTTTTTAATTATAATTATAATGTTTTTTTTCAATCATAATTGTAATATCTTTTATTATTATTTTTAATCTTATCCAAATCAACATCATCATCATTTAAATAGAGTTTTATAAAAAAATTAAGTCAACGAAGTAGCAGCTCGCTTTTGTAAAGATAAAAAGAACGTGCCAAAATTCGTCCCTTTCATCAAGGAGCCTGATTAGCATGCGTTGGCTAGCTAGAATCCTGGTATAGATGTTGATAGGATTAGCTTGGACCAACTTTCTTAAAACTGTTCAATTAATTTCTTTTCTGAACTTAGCATCAAACAGTTTTGCATTTGTTTTTTCGTCTCACAAATCTGCTGTGGGCCAATTTTCGATAAAATATATCCATGCATGCATATATATAGTTGAGCGCCTGTGTATTTGAAGCTTAAGAGATATAGGAAGAGGGAGAAATCCCCCGTCAATGGGTTTTCTTCTTCTGCAATCCTATTTCAAGGCAAGGAATAGAGAGGATACGAGCAGTTGAATGGCCCAGAAGATCCCATATGGTCATTTGCATTGGACCCCCTTTTGGGCCTTTATTACCATCAACCATCACTTCTCTTTCTCTTTTTCTCTTGCAATTATGCAAAATAGTAGGGAAGGAAATCTTCGACTGACCAACCGCCTTTAGCTCCAAGTTATTGGTATCTTACTTTTATGCTGTGAGGACCCCTTTAACTAAAGCTATAGACACCAACCTACTGAGCTTTTCTTAACCCTCTAAATGCTCTTATTTGGTAATCTAAATTCACGGTTGATACCAAAAGCCAAGATATCAACAATGGTTTGGAAATTTCCTCCATTTCCATCAAAGAATATGATAGTTGAGGAGTATTTGAGAATTCGATTTTGTTTTGTTTCTCAAAATTTTTCATACATTACGGGGATTCATGCATGAAATGAGATCATAAGAATTGCCTTTTTATATTAACTTTAGAATTGAACCAAATCTGCCATTTCTTTGGTGACGATTCTTGTCTTCCAAAGCAACCCTCATTAATCAATCTGATAATTTAAAATATGATACGATAATATGACATAAAAATTATACAAATAAAAACTATAAAAATGATTCAGTTTAAAATTTTAATAAAAATCATAAATAAATTTAACAAAATTAAAAAAATATATTTAATATTTTTGTGTAAATACAAACTATGATACATAATTTTTAGATAAAATATGACATGAATATAATACGATAAAAATATATTAATTATCAGTATCTTATAATTTTTTAGTGAAGATTCACACTTAATTTACGAGTCATTATTCATTTTAATTTAAAAATATCATAATTTTATTTTTCAAAAAGTACATTACAAATTTAGATTTAATCTCAATTTATATATTTTATCATATACTCAAAACCTTCCAATATAAAATTAAGATGTCACATCTTGTCTTCTAAAGCAACTCTCATTAGTTCTAACGATGATTGATATATTAGCAACTTTCACCGAATTAATTTAAAAAAGTATCAATTAGCTTAAATGGTGAAATCCAAAATTAGTGGTTGTTTCCATTCCAAAGTTTGACACAGACATCTATTAGCTGGCTTTGTTATTTGACAAATTAAAGGGACAAGCATTTCCAGTAGATCACAGATTTTAATTATTAGGTTTTGCGAACCAACCAAAGGCATTCTGTTGGGTTAGACCAACATTAAAGCATCTTTACAAGCGCAGCACTTGACCAACTGGAGTGGTCCTTGGCTAAGGTAGGTGTATATATCATCCATAAGCTGATGATGATAGGCAATTTCGTTACTTCCTCGATCGGATGGCACATGCTAGGCTAATCAGGACCATCCATTTTCTTTTATTTGGTGTGTTAAGCAGCCTTAATTGCGTGTGGTCCATCAGATTTGATTGCCTGAAACCCATTGATGATATACAACTTTACCATTTCCAAAGCCCTAGATATTGAGTGCAACCAGAAGTCAACATCAGATGGGATGGTGGGGAATTATCAGTCAACGAAATGGTCATTCATCTAACAATAAGAAACCCATGATTGGAATCGATCAAATGATGACTAATATTCCTGATATGTCTGTCACGAAAATGTATACAGAAAAAAAAAAAAAAAAAGATTTGCTCGGCTACTCATGTGCAGGGTGAGTAGCTTTCATTGTTGTTAATAATTATTTTTATATACTATCTATGATCAAATCTAAATTTACTTTTTTTTTTTATTTAAAAAAAAATTTTCTGAATCAAATGATCGGATGCAAATCTGTGATGTTTTTATAGAGCCAAAAAAACATGTTAACAATCTTTTCTTAAGTTACTTTTAAATTAAAATAGACCCTTCACAAGAAAATTAGTGGGGTTATCAGGTGCTGATGGAACTTTGACCAGCCAATTCCTATCAAAGAAACTAAACAAAAATTGATCTTTCACCATTGCAGTGCTGGTCTGGATGATATAATATTGCCTTCACATGTAGTTCACCTATCAATCATCATAATGTCAAGTTCATTGAGTTGTATTCACCATTGAGATGGACGATCCATTAGTTTATTATTATCACAATTGCTTCAAATAAAAATCTCCACCGCCTTTCAGTGCTTCCTGATTGCATCTCAACAAGGACAGATAATGGACAAGTTCATTCGTCGCATTCAATTCCCTAATAATATTGATTGCTAAAATTCTATCATAAAGAGACAAGAACAATCGTCATGGTTCAATCTCAATCATTTTAATGAATCAGATTGAAATATTAATTTGAACGTGATGTGTAAGTTAACACTGCTGTCGATATATGATTGAAGAATTACAGAATGTCATCACCATTTGGTCTACTTTCAACTTTTGAATCTCCCCACTCCCGTGGAATAGAGAACAATTCAAAACCAAATTTTATCTTTGGATTTCTACAGCTGGTATTGCCATGGTTCCCAGGTCCACAAACTCCTTCCTACAAGGGAGAATTTTTTGCATGTGTGAAAAGGGTAGGACGAGAAACCGCGTGCATATAGATGAAAATGACAGACTATAACCGTAGTTTGAAGATCATGTTAAACTAAGAGGAAAGAATAGAGACTAGAGAGATTTTTTTTTTTTTGTAAAAAAAAATTTTTAAATAAATAAGATGTTCAATTTTTTAAATCAAAGTAAAATATTTTATATCGGATAATTTAAATATAATAATTACAGATTATAAATTTGAGATGATGTTAATAAAAATTTACCGGCTGAACTTGAATTCAAAACTTTAACCTTATCAATTGAGCCAAACCATGGTTAGAGACTAGAGAGTCGTCCATGCAAAATTGTGCTACTCTCGCTCTGGCTCTTTCATGAATTGGGTTGGAGAGTTGGGACCGCCACTCTCTCAAAATAAGACCACGACCTTTCTAATCTTTCAATCATAACCCAATCCTCAGTTCACATGCTCTATACGGATTCCCAAGTGATGGTCTTTTGCAGGGTCCAAGATACACTTTCTTTCTTGGTGAAAATTCTCAATCTCAACCCTCATAATTAAAAGTTAAAGAAGCTTTTTTCAGCACTCTTTCTCTCAATATTTAGTACTGAGTTTTGCTATTTTCTTCTCTTTTTCTTCTTTATGTCAGTCTCTAAGTTTTCTTTCTCTATGTCAGTGTGCTTGGTGAAAGCAAAGCATCAAAACCCACTTGTTCACTTTTTCCCCCTCCCTTTGCAACTTTCTCTTGAAGAATCTAGACGAGCATATGTATTGGGTAAGGTTTCTTCTCCAGGTTGATCTATTATCTTGGGAAGTGGAACTCATTCACACCATCCATTTTTCCCACTCAAATTTTGCTCCATTTGCATGCATGTTACTTGCACATTATTCAAGTAGGTGTATGAATATATATTCAGCCTTTTGCATGGTTTTTGCAGTTTCCAGGATCAAGTGGGAATTTTAAAGCTCCCTTCACAGTTTCTTTTTGGACTAAAAATCTTTAACTTTGGACCATTATATTTCTTCTTCTCTAACTTTCTTTGATTGCCTTGTCAATTTTCTATCCTATTCTCAGTCAGTCATCGGTATACTATGACTCCAACCATATATTAGACAATGACTCTCCACATTTTTTAAAGATTAGAAGCAAACAAAGCACCTAATAAAACAAAAATCAATCCAAAGAGATGTGTCAATATAATTGTAAATTCTAATCCCTCAGCTTTTTCTTTTTCCTGGTCCTCTCAAATATCTTGTATGAACATATAGCTAGTGCAATGCTTTTGTTCCAGTCCAACTGTGAAAAACAATGCTGCAGAATATGTTGCTAGAAGATCCCCAAAAGTTACATAGACATTCCATCAGCACCAGCTAATGCCATAGTAAGGGAGCTTTCAGCTTTCCCTTTTTGAAGAAGCAACCAACGATTGTTGCAACAAGTTAGACTGAAATAATTGCGGGGAAGCAAATTAATCTCAGAAAGAATATATGATGAAAATTTTCAAGGAAATAACAATGCGGTGAGCGTGGATCGAATGTGTAATCCTTCAGAGCTCACATATCCGTGTTTGACGCTCTCACCATAGCTGAACTCTATTCAGCTATCTAATAATTAAAGTCTAACCCTTGAAAATTAGGCTTTAATTTGTTTATTGTTTCAGAACTGTGCATGGGACAATTTGAGCTGTTGTTTCGATGATGAACGTTAAACAGGAAATCCACATTGTTTTTAGAAAAATTTACTGGCAATGGAAATACAAAGGAAAGATTACACAAACCCTAATCTCATTTTAAGCTGTGATTCAAATTTTAAGATTCATTTGACAGCATGATAAAAGAAACTCTTACTTAAATATTCAAACATAAAATGAAATCACAGCATAATAAAAAAACCCTTTCATCACATTCTCAGATGAATCTTTTGTTAACCATTTCAAAGGATTTTCTTGGAAATGTCAAACTAATCTTAAATTCTTAATTCAAATAAGTACTTATTTATGCACATTACATTTTCCATAGGGATAAGAAAATTTTTAAAGAGAAGTGAAAATAACTTATGTTTTGTAAAATTGTAACAACTGATATTTCATAATAGTAGGTTTTAAAAGCACATTTTATTATCCAATTATTATTATCTATATATATAGTCCATTATAGGGTAGAAAATAATGTCCATACAACTTTGTGTGATCAAAAACAAATATAAACAAATTTATTTGGGCTAGACTATATATAACTTTGCTTAAATTGTACAAGCCCAAGAAAATATGAACAAGCTAATTATAGGCCATTGGCCCACAAACAAAGGACTTGACTATTTGGGCTTCGTTAGTGGGCTTTTCTCCGACTAAGTTCAGCAAAACCGCCACTAGAATTCTCAAAAAACCCCTAACTTCTTTCGTCACTATATAAATACCTTAACCTCGATTTGGGCAAAACTTTTCCAATGCCGCTAGGGTTTCTGCAGCAGCATAAACAGAAGACATGGTACGATTTATTATTATTTGAATTCGATCTCTTTGTTCATGTTATTTATGGAGAAATTGAAATTGACTGTGAGGTTTGTATCTTTTTTTTATAGGGAAAAGGAACCGGAAGCTTTGGAAAGAGAAGGAACAAGACTCACACTCTCTGCGTTCGATGTGGACGCCGGAGCTTCCATCTCCAGAAGAGCCGTTGCGGTGCTTGTGGCTACCCTGCCAGTCGCATCCGAAAATGTAAACTTTCTTTTGCTTCTTTGCTCCAGATTTTTCGAATCCATATGTTTTAGTCGTTGTAGCTCTGTTTTTAGTTTGCTGAGCTGAACTTAGATAAGGTAGGCAAATTGAAAATTCATGATAATCATCCCATGTAAACTGATAACAAACCATGTTCCAGATTCATTCTTTTGATCTTCAGTGTCCTGGCTGTAGGGTAATTTTTGGGTCAAAAATGTTGTAAATTGTAATAAGCCATATTTGATTGTCATTGCTTGGTTGAAGATGGCATCTGGATTTATTGCTGATTAATTTTTTCAGTCAATTCTGTCTGCTGAACAGTGGCTTTTATCGGCAATATCAGCTTGTTTGATTGATTTGTGGAATTGGCTTTTGTGTTTTTGGCTTTAGATAACTGGAGTGTGAAGGCTATTAGAAGAAAGACTACCGGAACAGGTCGCATGAGGTACCTTCGTCATGTGCCCCGAAGGTTCAAGACTGGCTTTAGAGAAGGTACTTCAGTTCTTCTTACTGAATCATATGTTATTGAGATGAGAATGTTTTTGTTCGATAATATATAGTAATGGGGTGTACTGGAATTGTTGTCAGGTAGTCAAGCAACTCCAAGGAAGATGACAGTTGCTGCTGCTGCCTCATAAATTAATTATAGCGTTTTTATGTGAGATTCCTGAATTTACAAACAAGAAGTTTTGTGTTTTTATAACTGTGTTACTTTTGTTTTTCAAGTAATATCTACAAAGAGTAAGTTTTGTTTTATAATGAATCTTCACAAACTTATTTGGATTGTTGAGCAAAATTTACTTTCATCAATCCCTTTGTGCCATGTGAGATAGTGACATGCCACCCATGGATGGAATATGCTAGTTGGCTTGGTAAGAATCAGGTAACTTCTTAGAAGGAATGCTAGCATCTATAAGCTGGAAAACTGAGACTAGTGTTGAACGTTTGATAAAATAGTCTTTGGTAAACTTGCTCCAGTCTGTCCGAAGTTCCTGAAGGGCAGCTGCATACCTGTTCAAGAAAAAGTGTAATAGAACTGTAGTCTTGTGCAATTGCCAAATGCAAAGGCAATTCTTACAGTTGATATGTATGAATATAATAGCATAAATCTTGGAAACAGCGTAATCTAAAGTTTTGGGGATGGATTGTTGAATGTTAGATAGAGCTGATTCAACGAAATATGCCCAGCTTTGTTTTCCCCTTTGCACTCTTCAGCTTAGCTCAAAAGTTATAGTTTACAATTGAACAAACCCCATAAAAGTTCAGACAATATCAACTCAAGGCAACATCTCTCCCAAATTTATAAATTGGACATTGACAAAATGCAAATATCTTGCTTTGAAGCAGACACTTAAAGTTTGGAAGATACTCTAAACGGTAAACATTCCAGTAGCCTAATCAAGGTATCATATTTTTCTTTATAAACAAACCTAACATAAAACCATCAGTTACCAGGTTTATTAGACATGAGAGCAAAGCGTTTCCTTCCGACAACCTCAAACTCAGGCAATCCATCAGGACAATCCTCACTCCTAACGCTACTCTTCGTAAACTCAGCATAAACCATTTGAGCCTCCCTTGCATACTTGCTCATCGGTCACCACTATATTCGACCCTATCAAGGTTCTTGTTCTTCAGTTAAATCATCACAAGGAACCTCTGTATCTGGAGGAAAAAACAACTTGTCCAATGAAATCTCGAGCAGTGGCAGAGTGTTTGGGTTTGATGGGTAGTTTTGGTTTGAGGGAAAAAATGAAACTTGGCGGCGGTTTTTTAAGTTAGAACCATTACTCTCTCTTCCAATCAAACTGATAGATTTGTTCAACTCTCTTCTTTGTTACCGGGCAAAGCCCCGAAAGCAGCAAGCAAAAAATTTCGCTGATATTCTTTGAGAGCAAAACGCACCGTTTGGTTCTCGGTAACATGTTTTTAACGTTAGATAATAAATACGCCGACTTTAAATCGAAACGATGTCGTTTTGCTCCAACAAACAGAGACGTTTTAAACGTGTCAGCAACGATAAAGTGTATCATCTCTCTTTTTACTCTTAAGTTCGACCGCCCTTGTCTTCCTTTCACGGCCGATCTGTCTGCGCTTTAGTGGATCTTTGTTTTAACTGACATCGGAATCCGTTAGCTACCAGCCATGGCTCCTCCGGCTCAGTCCCAACGGTCACCCTCACCGTCTCAACCTTCCGGGTAACTCTTATCATATCCCCTAATCCTCAGACCCCCAAGCCTTCAATTTTAACAGCAATTTTTCCTCTGTTTTCTTTTATCAGTTTAAATTCTGATTTAATTCTTCTTTTTTTTATGGAACTCTAATTAAATGTTCTGATTGTAATTAACAGTAAAAGTGAAGTCTCCGATTTGAAACTCCAGCTCCGACAACTTGCCGGCAGCCGTGCACCGGGTGTGGACGATTCGAAACGAGAGCTCTTCAAAAAAGTTATATCTTACATGACGGTCGGAATCGACGTGTCATCTCTCTTCGGCGAGATGGTGATGTGCTCGGCCACATCCGACATCGTTTTGAAGAAAATGTGTTATCTCTACGTCGGTAATTACGCCAAAGTCAACCCCGATCTCGCTCTCTTGACCATCAATTTCCTCCAAAGGGATTGCAACGATGAAGATCCAATGATCCGAGGGCTCGCCTTGCGGAGCTTGTGCTCGTTACGTGTGGCAAATTTTGTGGAGTATTTGGTGGGGCCGTTAGGATCCGGATTGAAAGATAGTAATAGTTACGTGAGAATGGTGGCGGTTATTGGAGTTTTGAAGCTTTATCATATCTCAGCTTCCACTTGCGTCGATGCGGATTTTCCTTCCATATTGAAGCATTTGATGCTCAATGACTCGGATACTCAAGTGAGAGATAGTTAAAAAGCTTGAATTGATTGTCAAACATTTCACTTTTGTTTGTAGAATTAGCTTGCAGATTAATGAGTTATTTGTTTCATTAGGTGGTTGCCAATTGTTTGTCTGCTTTACAAGAGATTTGGAGCGCTGAAGCTAGCACGTCCGAAGAGGCATCGAGGGAAAGGGAGGCTTTGATTAGCAAGCCTGTTATATATTACCTACTGAATCGGTATGTTGTGTAGATAAAAATTGAAGAATCAAGGGGAAAATTCAATTGTTTCCTTCTTTTGGTGATTATGCTGTCATTTATCATGCTGAATAAGTTAGACTAAGTGCTATGGTGTTATTTTAAATGAATGCTTTCAAATGTGTTTTTATGTGTAGGATCAGGGAATTTAGTGAATGGGCGCAGTGCCTTGTGCTGGAGTTGGTGACTAAATATGTGCCATCGGACAGCAGTGAGATTTTTGACATTATGAATCTCCTTGAAGATAGACTTCAGCATGCAAATGGAGCTGTTGTTTTAGCCACTATCAAAGTGTTTTTACATTTAACCCTATCCATGACTGATGTTCATCAGCAGGTGCCCATCAATCCTTTTTATCTGACTCTTTAATTGAATGTTTGGAGAGTTGTTACATTTCTTCTCCGCACAAGCAATCTCCTTGCATGTTTACAATCAAGGAGGTGCTTTTCGGTTAATTTTGAACTTGTGGCTCATGCTTCTTTTTTTAGTCATCAATATTGTCCCCATTTTTGTCTCTAAAACTGTATCAAGTTTTTAATTTAGTCATTAAGTTATTTCTTCTTGTCATTTAAAAAAAATCTGGGCAGATGTCTTTGATCCTGAATCATCATGCATGGCCTTGATAAATTAATAATACTCTAATATCACTTGTTCTTGTTTATGGACTCAAGAGTTTGCTAACAAAATCCTTTTATCTGAAGGTGTATGAACGTATCAAAGCACCGCTGTTGACCCTTGTTAGTTCAGGAAGCCCAGAACAGTCTTATGCAGTTTTAAGTCATCTGCATCTCTTGGTGATGCGGGCACCTTATATTTTTTCCTCAGACTACAAACACTTCTATTGCCAGTATAATGAACCATCTTATGTCAAACGATTGAAGCTTGAAATGTTGACTGCAGTGGCAAATGAGAGCAATACTTATGAGATTGGTAAGCAATCAGCCTCTCAGTTTCTTTTTGAGGGCCTCTCTTGAAAAAGATGACATCTGTAAATTTTCAATGTTCCCTCTGAGTATTCTGATATGTAACCTTGTTGATTAAATTTCAGTGACGGAATTGTGTGAGTATGCTGCAAATGTTGATATTCCCATTGCCAGAGAGTCAATCAGAGCTGTTGGCAAAATAGCACTGCAGCAGTATGATGTCAATGCAATTGTTGATAGGCTTCTTCAATTTCTTGAAATGGAGAAAGACTATGTGACTGCTGAAGCTCTGGTAAATAAAAATTAATGCCCCTACTAGATATTTGGGATATTAAATACATGCATGACATACGCTACTGCCTTCCTACTAAAAGGTTTTTTCTCAGTGTCAAAATAAAAGTATGATGAGTTCACTATTGCCTGTTTGATTTATATGAGTTCTTTTATGCAGGTGCTTGTGAAAGATCTTCTTAGAAAATATCCTCAGTGGAGCCATGATTGCATTGCAGTGGTTGGTAACATAAGCAGCAAAAATGTACAAGAACCAAAGGCGAAGGCAGCTCTTATATGGATGTTGGGGGAATATTCTCAGGATATGCAAGATGCTCCTTATATTTTGGAGAGTTTAGTTGAAAACTGGGATGAGGAGCATTCTGCCGAGGTAATCAACTTTTATGGGTATTGTCCAATGATTCCATGTTAAATCATGTTCTGTTTTTTTCTTTTTTTTAGCCATTTCAGATTATAGTATTTATTACCTGGAATTGGTCCGTTTTTTTATAAAAGAAGAGGTTGTTGAGCCATTTGATTCAACTTTCAGCTGTATCCATTATGTCATTCTCAAATCTGTGCCGCTACTCTGATGTTTTTTTTCATGTCTTTCCAGTGGATACGTGGTGCAGTAAATTTGATTTACCTAATAGTATAGTCACTTAGCAAATGTTAATCATCTTAGGTACTTGATCTCATAAAGTTATTCTGTGTGTTTACTTAACACACTTTGAGTCCCCCGCATAACCCCCCAACCACCACAACCTGCCCCTCTTCTTTCCTCTTCCACCTTGCTGTTTCGTTTCTTATCTCATTCCACAACCAGGGGCACTGCTGCTATCTTGTTATTGTAGATTGAGTATTTGTTAAATTTTCCATGGACAGAATTTAAGCCTCTTTTTCATACTGAATTTCTGAAAATTGGATTCAAAGGTCTGTGTTATGAATTACTTCATATACTGGGTTGATGGATTATGCCATTGGGCAGGTTCGTTTACATCTTCTCACTGCAGTGATGAAGTGCTTTTTTAAAAGGCCTCCTGAGACCCAAAATGCATTGGGAACTGCATTGGCTGCAGGTATTGCCGATTTTCACCAGGTATGAGTTTGTCTTTTTTGTCTTTTTTTCCACTCTAACATCAATAGTACTGTTTGAGTTGGCAAGTTGTTTCTGGAAGCAATAAATTAAACCTTCAGCATGAATGCAGGATGTTCATGACAGAGCCTTATTCTACTATAGGATTTTACAGTATAATGTATCTGTAGCAGAACGCGTGGTGAACCCTCCAAAGCAAGCCGTTTCTGTTTTTGCTGATACTCAAAGCAGTGAAATTAAAGATCGGATATTTGATGAATTTAACAGTTTATCTGTTGTATACCAGAAGGTAATTACTAGCTTCTTCCAACTTTATGTTATAGTTATTTTTTTGTACTTTAGACCGTTCTGAATGCTCTTGTGATGGGTTGTTAAGGCATCCAATCTGCAAATTAAAGGAAAAAAATGTAATGACAAGGCAATGCCTTACCCTAATTACAAAGTTTGTAGTTTTAATTGTAATGAAATTGATGAGTTAAAAGCGGTAGGTTCCCATTCTTTAGGAAATATAAATATGTGGATCTGGTTGTTGAATATGGCATCTATTTCAACTTCTTAATTCATATCATACAGATTGGTGAAAACTGATTGGGTTTTCACAGTAAATAAGATTTCTTTGTTTTTGCCTGAAATACTAACACTTCTTGAAGAATGCCTTTTTTATTCTAAGCCTCGTGGCAGAGGGAATCTGTCTTGATTCAAGGTGGGCCAAAATGTTTGCAAGGAAAATGCTATTTAAACATCATAACCTAAAAACTTACTTGGCAACGAGGACCAACCTGAATATAATACTACAAGATACCTAAACCAAATTTTTGTGGGACATTACACTATTAAACACTCCCTTCGATGTTTAGGCTTGATAGAACAATTAAGAAAATTTGTTATTGGGAGCCACTAGATCAAAATGTTTAAGCAATTTGGTGAAAGGTGCTTTTTTAAACAAGGTTCTACTTACCAAAGTACTTGCATCTCTTAAGTTATCCTTCCCTTCATCAATTCCTTTCCTGCATCGTTGTCAATGGAATAACCCATGGAATGGACTTGCAACTTCAGTTTTTGTGTAAACAGCAGTGAAATAACTTGCAACAACTTTACTTTGTATACTGTTGAGAGCTAAAAAATTGATGATTCATGTAATTTACTCTTCTTTGCTGTAATCACGGCATTGTGACTCTCCAAGCATTTTGTTAATTTTACACAAAATTTCCATTCTGCTATTAAAAAGTTTAGTATACTATGTCCAATCTGCATTCCTCATATTATTCAAATCATAATAAAGTCGTGGTTAACTGATATTTTTAAATATCTGCAGCCATCTTACATGTTTACAGATAAGGAACACAGGGGTCCGTTTGAGTTTTCAGATGAACTTGGAAATCTATCTATTGGCGGAGAAGCAGCAGATAATGTTGTTTCTGCTCAGAGAGTGGAGGAAAATGATAAGGATCTGCTTTTAACTACTTCAGAGAAAGAAGAAACTAGAGGTTCGAGTAATAATGGTTCTGCTTATACAGCTCCTTATGATGGCTCGTCTACATCTGTCTTTGCCTTGCAAACACATATAGAGTCGGCAATTTCAAATCCCACTGCAGCAGACCATTCTCCACAAGCAAGCTTGGCTATTGATGATCTACTTGGTCTTGGTTTACCAGCAGCGCCTGCTCCTCCATCTCCTCAATTGAAGCTTAATACAACAGCTGCTCTAGATCCAAGCACATTTCAGCATAAGTGGCGCCAATTGCCAGTTGCTTTGTCACAGGTTTGCTTGTAAATATTTCCTATTGGTCATGCTGTGGGAGTACCATCTTCATCTTATCGCCTGGACTTTTTATTTGGAAGTATTACATTCTTAGCATCAAACTATCCTCAGAGCTGTCAGGACAAAACCTGTCCCTTTCCTTGAAAACTAAACCACCAGATAGTCCCTAGAATGAAAACCATGTCTGGTCCTTTATGTCATTCTTAATATTTGGAGCTGAAACTTTGCTTATAAATGCACACCTTTCTCAGAACTCGTCTTTAATTATTTCAGGAATACTCAGTAAGCCCTCAAGGTGTTGCAGCATTGACAGCACCTCAAGCTCTCCTTCGGCACATGCAAAGCCATTCCATTCACTGCATTGCATCAGGCGGTCAATCCCCCAACTTCAAGTTTTTCTTCTTTGCACAAAAAGCGGAGGAGGCATCTAATTATCTTGTCGAATGCATAATCAGCACATCATCGGCTAAAGCCCAAATAAAGATCAAAGCTGATGATCAAAGTACATCCCAGGCATTCTCAACTCTTTTCCAATCAGCCTTGTCCAAATTTGGTATTCCATGAGCACTAAATGCTTTCTTCATTTAATGGCTGGACGGGCAAGATGTTCTCAATATTTCCTATTGATTTTATTTTTTCTCAAGAAGAAACTAAAGAGAAAATTGTGTTTGCAGACGGAATTGATGAACTCCTTTTTTGGTAGATGTACATTGTCTCTCTTGATTTCCATCATAGTCCAGTTTGTTAATTTTTTTGAAGCCTGGAATTTATATTTCTATTGAATAATGTTACTCCGGAATAGTAGCGAGGACTACATCAATTCTTTTTGGTTCCTGATTTTCTTTTTCTTGGGCGGTAATAATCGTACTACTCCTTTTCTCACTCAAGCACGCTACAATTTTTTCTACTCGGAAAGAAGCCATGCCGATAGAGATGGTTCAATTCAGGGAAGTAATTTAGTTGAGTCAGTAAAATGAGAAACTCGGCTCTACTTGAAATTTGTTGTTCGAAATATCATTTGAGTTTGGTTGAAATTTAATTTTTATGTTTGATTCGAAATAAAATTCGAATTATTTGAATTTATTTGATTAAATATATTTATTGAATTAAAAATAAATTTGATTTTTATATTTTATTTTAAATTTGATTATTCATATTTACATTCAAATTTAAATTTAAATTGATATATTTAAAATTAAAATATTAAAATATTTGAATTTAATTTGTGTAATAAATTAAATTATTTGTTCAATAAATTAAATTACTCAAAAATAAATTTAAATTTAATTTGATAATAATTAAATTAAGTTCGAATTTTATTTAATACGAACTTGAGTAACTTCCACTGATATATTATTTGCATTATTAAAGAAGCGATTATCATTTACATTTAGCCCACTCTCCGAGTAGTGAGGGTCCACTTCTTAGAGTTGATTCCTCGGCCGTGAATCTATCAGTATTTTAAAATTCCTGATTATGTTGGCTTTATCTGGCTTAGCTATAGCTAGAGAGAGATAGGAAGTGTTGGAAATTTGGAATTTGGCGAGGAACTGAACTACCGGACACCAGACTTCTTGTGGAGTGGTTGATTTAACTTTAATAAAAGCTTCTGTCAATAAAAATAATACTGCATACACGATAAGCGAAATCGATTCATGAATTCTGAAAGAAGAAATTCTGGAGTTTCCAGGACAAAATAATCCAGCTATGAATTCAACCAGAGGAGAATTATAGTGATCACTGATCAGTCGAGTGATTTGCATGTGGACTACCCAAAATAACAAAGTAAAGAATTTTTTTCAGGAATAATCAGCTTCTACAATGTTGTTGGCACCCTCTTTGTCCCTATCTCCCGAAGATTCCCCGTTCACCACTTCACTGCCTCCTCTACACCCACCTCCAGTGGCGCAGCCACCTCTAGCACCACCAGTCGTGTCCCCGCCATCTCCGCCAACAAATACTGCATCTCCGTTTGGTTCTCCACGACCGCCCTTGGCCCCAATATCAACCACGGTAACTCCACCTCCGTTTCTCCCCGTGGCATCTCCCCCACCTATGGCCTTTGCTATAAGTCCTGTTACTCCTCCAACGCCTCCAACACTACCGGTTTTTACTTCACCACCACCACCACTTGCCGCTGCTACCATTAGTCCAGTAGCTTCTCCACCTCCTCCCCAGCCACCATCATTGGTTATTCCTTCCCCATCGCTCCCCACAACTCCTGCTCCTCCGCATCCCCCAGCACCAGCATTGGTTATTCCTTCCCCACCGCTCCCCACAACTCCTTCACCTCCTCAAACATCTACATCTTTGCCATCAACTTCGCCATTGCCATCTCCCACTCCACCATCTTCACCATCAGTTATTCTTCCATCTCCAGCAAAAACAGCTCCCTCTCTCCCTCCACCAAGGCCACCTATTGATCCACCATCATTTACTTTGGTGTCTCCACCACCTCCTACAGTTTCTCATTCTATTCCTAACACTCCGGTGTCGTCTCAGGGATTTCCATTGCCTACACCACCACCATCATTCCCCCTAGCAGTTGAAAAAGGAGGTTTGCCAACCACAAGGCAAGGGTCACATTCTCCAATTGGGCTTATAGTTGCATGTATTGGTGTTGGAATTCTACTGTTTGTTGTGTTTGCACTCATGTTCATTTGTTGTAAACTTAGAAGGAGAAAACAGAAGTCTTCCGCGGATAATAGAAAACAACAATGTTGGGTAACTGAAGGTGAGATTAATTTGGTTAATATTGTTAGTTTGTTACAATCATATTTCATATTTACTGTTAGTTTTCTGATAGAATTTCAATGTTGGTTGAGTTGTTAGATGACTTTTTTACTGCTCCAAACCAACCTGAACCAGAAAAAGTTGCCCGACCAGGAGCCCATGTTATCAAAGTGCTACCAAAAGCCCTGCCTCCACCACAGCTCAACAATTCTAAAGGCTCTGGCTCTAATAATTCAATAACTGTTACTGCCCATATCACCTTGAATTCCTCAAGTGGCATTTTTACCTATGATGAATTAGTCGTGGCCACCAATGGCTTTTCTGAATCCAACCTCCTTGGACAAGGCGGTTTTGGTTACGTCCACAAAGAAGTCCTGCCGAGTGGGCAAGAAGTTGCAGTTAAGAAATTAAAGGCTGGAAGCCAACAGGGGGAGCGTGAATTCCAGGCTGAGGTTGAGACTATTAGTACATCACAAACATCTTGTTTCCTTGGTTGGATACTGCATTGCTGGGGCTGAGAGGTTGCTTGTTTATGAGTTTGTTCCAAACAAAACCTTGGAATTCCACTTGCATGGTTAGTCTTATTTCCTTCTCTTGTATGATAAACAATTCCGGTGGATCTATCTGTTGAAAGGTTGATTTCCCAATAAGCTAAAGCTTTCTTGGTGGATAGTTGGAATTTTGTCTAGGGTGCAAAATGCCTATTTACATGCACAATCATGGTACCAATTAAGCTTTAGATGTGGCACTAGCAAAAGGAATAGCATATCTCCATGAAGATTGTGAGTTCGATTCTTAACATCCTCCCTCTGAACTTTTTACTTGTGGCTCTTTTCCTGCATTTCGAGGCAACAAATGAAGCAATCTGATGAATAAGGAAGAACTATATATTATATATTTCTCGAAATCACTAGTTTAGGTCATCTTTTATGAGCCTAGTTCTGATTGAAGTAGATGGTTCATACAGGTAGTCCAACAATCATTCATCGTGATATCAAAGCAGCTAATATTCTTCTTGATCCTCAATTTGAGGCGAAGGTAAGTCTCAAAGTCTCTGTATTAATTTTCTTGTTTTATGGTGCAGCTCATCCCAACTTAGTATGAAGGATGAAGTCATATAATGATAGTTCTGTTCTTATAAAAATACATGATTACAAGCTATTTAATTAAGCACTGAAGTAGGATCCTTTTTTTTTTTTGCTTGTCAATGAACTCTATGTTTTGCATTCAGGTTTCTGACTTTGGACTGGCCAAAATTTTCTTTGATGCAAGTTCCTCCATTACTCACATCTTCACCAGAGTGGTGGGAACTTTTGGCTTAGATCCTTTTTTATCTCACCCCTCCTCCTTTCCAATTTTAGACCATCACTTTGAACTTGCTTCAGATACATTGGCTGTAACAGCAGACTGCTTGCAGATACCTTGCTCCAGAGTACGCATTGACTGGTAAATTAACAGAAAAATCAGACGTATATTCCTATGGCGTCATGCTTTTAGAGCTTATAACTGGACGTCCACTAATCATCAAGAATGAATCCTCCATAAATCAGAGCCTGGTTGACTGGGTAAGTCGATTGATATTATCTCCCAAATGATGGTTAAGGCTCAAATTGTTCCTTTCTCAATTCCAATTACGAATTGTCCAGACTAAATAGTGGTTATACACCTTCTGTTTAATAACTAAGAAAAGGTAACTGTGTTGGCACCAACAGACGAGGCCTTGGCTAGCTCGTGCACTGGAAGATAACGATTTTGATGCTCTTGGTGATCCAAGGTTACACGGCGTTTACAACAAGAGCGAGATGGCAAGCATGGTCACATGTGCTGCTGCTTGTGTCACGGGTCGAGACTTAAGCTCCGAACCCGCGTGGCTTCAGGACCCGGGCATTCACCCTTTCGGCGTCCCGAATCAGCCTGACCGCCACGGTTCACACCCTTGTGAGGTATTGTCCGCTCTGGCCCCCTGACCTCAGGATTTTGTCCTACAAAAGGCGCCTCATAAGGCGGAGATGGTGTGAACCCTTTTATACCCCAAGGACCCTCTTATTATGTTCGATGTGGGATTCAGGACTCCCCCTTAGGTCCGTGACATTTTCTCGCACCCAACCTCGTGACGCCCTCGTCACGGAGGTCGGCCACCCTGCCTACCTCCCTCGAGGTGCTTGGCGTGGATCGAACGGTTTAAGGCTGGCTCTGATATCACTTGTCACAGGTCGAGACTTAAGCTCCGAACCCGCGCGGCTCCGGGACCCGGGCATTCACCCTTCCGGCGTCCCGAATCAGCCTGACCGTCACGGTTCACACCCTTGTGAGGTATTATCCGCTCTGGCCCCTGACCTCACGGTTTTGTCCTACAAAAGGCGTCTCACAAGGCAGAGATGGTGTGAACCCTTTTATACCCCAGGGACCCTCCTATTATGTTCGATGTGAGATTCAAGACTCCCCCTTAAATCCGTGACACTTGTGTACGCCTGTCAGCTTGGCTTAGACCTCGAATGATCCAGGTATATATCTCCCATTTCCTTTCTTTTTTGGTGGGGTGAGGCAACGTTTAAAACCAAGGTTTTCGTTGTTAGAAATGATGTTTATTTATGTTAAAAGTAAAATTTGTACCAGTTGTTATGAACAAAGTAAGAACCAAGATGATCTCATTTTGTCCTAAAAACATTGCCAGGTTGTTCGTGCTCTAGAAGAAGATATTTCTCTCTCTTATATTGATGAAGGCTCAAGCAGCGAATGTCAAAGAATAAACAGAGGAACAGATGGCCAAAGAGATAACTTCCCTTCATAGATTTTATTAAACTAGTTTACCTAGTCATCCCTTTCCATTTGCCCTTTTTGGCAATTTTCTTCCTTAAATATGATATTTGTTCATCCAGGAAAGTTGATATCAAGAAGTTGTGCATTATGTTCAGCCTGCCTACCAAATTTCTACTGCATTTTTCGCCATGGAATTGTAGTCCTCCATCATGCAGCAAGGGAAAAATAGAAAGATAAAATGCTAAATAGTTCTGTCACATGCATTGTAGGCTAAAATTTAGTTGTGTTGTATGATTATAAACAGGGGAAAAGAATTCATGATTGTATGAGAATGAGATGTAGGTTGACATGGTCTGAGAACGTCTTGCTGATAATTCAAGACTAGAAAGTAATCGTGCTGAAAACCAGGTAAGAGAAACAAAAGCCAACTAATATCTCACTAGCAAAGAGAATTATCAAAATCTTTTATCAAGTGGATTGAGAATAGCAATGATCACTGACTTCATCATATCCAGAGAGGTTAAAAAAAACCCTGAAAGCTAAGCTAAGGTCCAGCTATCAAAACCATAAACTTTTGCATTCTCTGCGATAAGTATTATCTTTCACCATCTATTTGCACAATGATGCCGAGTCTTTCAATGCACGAACATTCATATTCAATAATTCATCCACCCTGATCCCTTTTCTCCTTTGAAGGTATCAAAGAATTCAGCCATTGCTTCCAAGGAGCATCCTCTTGTTGCTCAATCCATGACAAGAAACAGCTATCCAACAAGCAGAAGAAGTTATCGTATAGAAGTTGGTACCTCACTGGTATATACCGAAAATTTGCAACTTGAACAATTGGCCATGGACCTCCTTCAAGAATTAAGGCTGGGACAAAATCCCTCTTTACATCTTCCTTGATTTGGGGAACGCTCTTTCCAGCAGAAAATCCCATGTATGTAAAAAACAGAAGTAAATCCAATGGACCAAAGATGAACCCATCAATTGCAACTTTAGTAAACACAAAACGAAAAGAATTTGGTTGTAGACGAAGCTGCAACCTTATATATCGGTCCAGACCTTCATACCTACAAATGTTACCAAAAACTTAAGAGTTTCCAACAAAAGGCTTGCATATAGAAAACATATGCACAGTAAAGTTAGGAATTGAATGTTATTTTATCTTTATTTTATCTTGATCATGCAACTTCAACCATGGAAGAATTCCTTGACCCCCAAGTTCAACAGCCAATCCAAAAATAAGAAAACGAGGCCACCATGAACCATTTATAGTTCCCATAATAAGTCCCTTACACATTGTAAATCTTAAGCGCAACACATTTTTTAATGTATGATAATCCTATAGTGAAAGCTCTAAGATATATGAGTAAACAGTAAACATTAGCATGATGTGAACTTAACGTTCTTTAGCCAAGTAAATCCATGGTGGTAATGGATAATTACCAGTAATGACCAACTGGTCCAACAAATCCAAACCCAAACAAGCTTGTTGTAGCCACTCGTTTCCAATTAATCTCTACTTCTTTATCCTTTTCCTGATACATGCAAAAATTAAATTCAATTTACCAAAAGAAATAAGCTGATTAATACTATAACACTCACAAAATTAAAGATGCTTAGAACATATGTAAGGTAGAATGCCGTGTTTCTATTACTGACATATTGACAATAGTTAAATTATTTCCAAGTGGTGAACTTCGTGTAGCAGGAATAAGGGGGAATTGGATCTAAGGAAACTCAGCAATCATGCTCTTTCTTGCATTGCATCTAGCAAAACAGCTTGTAATCAACAGCAAAAAATAGAATATTTCTCCTTTTTAAAGAAACATAATTCAAAACCAAGATAAATGAAATAAATAACTCAAAATTCCTTCTTACTAATCCCATAAATATGATTCTAGTTTCTCTTTAAATTGGCAGACAAAAAGCAAAAGCAACAGCAACAAAAACCAAACCTTTTCTATTACAAGAATGATTCAATAGCATCAAGAAAAATATCGAAATTCACCTTAAAGCAAACAAGCCAAACTCAAACAAGGGCAGGAAAAAAACTAAAAGAAACGGAATAATTGGAAATGAAAGACTGCCCATTCGTCCAAACAGCAAGGGAAAAGAAAGACACTTTGAAAAAAATAAATGATCAGATGTTGAAGTAGGAAACCTTTGATATACCTGAAAATGATGGTGTTTCTTGGCAGTTGAGTGAGTGATGGTTTGAGCAGCTATATCTCCAAAACCCCAAATCAAGCCTGAGCTTAAAACTTGTGTCTTCAATGGGTGGATAGCCAAGCACTTCTGGTAACATTTCCACAACCTCAACATTTTCTTTTACAACAGAATGAACAGGGATTCTGGATGAAGAAATAAAATTCAAACAAAAAGAGATGAATATTCAGATGCATTTATCATCATCCTCCTGATAATACAAAACCTCTGATCTAATATTTAATTACAGCACTTTATTTTTCCCGTTTAATAATGAAACTAAAGAAAGAAATTTCTTTTCATCGAATTTCTCTTTGCAGGACAAACCCATTTTTCCGGGGAAGTCTGTTTCAGGCATTCGCTTTGTTGCTTTTAACCTTTCTTTGTTTTTGGGTTTCAAGTTTTCAACTTCAAACAACTACAATTCCAAGCCAGCCCAGCCCTGTCAACCTGGACTTTTCTCCTAGGTTAACATTTATGCCATTTTGTCCCTTTTTTTTTAAGTAAACAAAGTAATTAAAATTTTAAACATATTTTTTAGACCATATAAGGGGGGAATAACATGATTCAATTACTCCAAACAAATTTCCATGAAAAGGGTTTTTTCTATGAAAATCCTATTAGTATAATTTCTTAGAAATTGTCAAGATTGCAATGATTTATATGATTCTATTGTTTGTGCATTGTACATTTTCATGTGTGTATGAAAAGATGTAAAATTGAAAAAGACAATTTGTCACATGTGTGTAGTAAAACTGTTCTTATTAAGATAAGTTGCGTTTAGAACAGTTTTGTTGGTTATTTTTATTGTTTCTGCTATTTTTTATAAATAAAATTACTATTTATCCAAAAAAAAAGACTTAAACAAATTTTATATAAATATATAAAAGTCAAAATTTTTGGTAAAAATAAAAAAAATATATGTGAACGGTTTAAATTATTGACTTGTGGACAGTTTTAAAAATCGTCACTTAATTTAATAAATACATTTTATTTTATTTTATTTTATATATTTTTAATTTAAAAATAATTCAAAAAGCTACATTGATTTATTTATATTTATGTTTTTATTATTAACTTCAATTCAATTTATATTAAAAGTATTAAAATTTTAAATTTTTCTTAATTTGACAAATTAAATCAATCAACATATAATTAATAAATTAATAAATACTACAATTACAATTATAAAATAGTTGATTCTCTCGTTAATTATTCGATACATTTATATTTAATTAAATATAGTATCCAATAATTGATGTATTTCATGTGTAAATATATAAAGTAAATATAATTCAAAAATTAAATTAATTATATTTATGTTTTTATATATCAAATTAATTCTCCGCAATTAAATTAATGAAATAAAATATTTTATTAATTTATATTTGATTGATACATTTATATTTTATTAAATATGATTTCATTTGATTTTATTTAATAAAATATTAATACACGTTGATTTCATTTGTTTTCATTTTTCACGTTTTAGAATTTTATTATTTGATATTAATGCATATTGATTTAATTAGAATTTAATTTGTTTTATTGCCATTATTAAATGTTATAAATTTAATTTGCTTTATTTTTCTAAATTAAGGGATCTCTAAATGTTAATGGTAGAATAAAATATTTTAATATCAATCAACTTATAATTGTTAGACTATTATTCACTCATAATTTTTATTATTTCAATATTAACTTTCATAATTTAAAATTATCTTATTAATTGATTATATTTATGTTTTTATTATTTACTTTAAATCACTATTAATTTAATTCATATTAAAAATATTTAAATTTAAAATTTTTTATTTTGACAAATTAAATTAATCAATATATAATTAATAGCTAAATTATAACTCATGTGATACACGAAACAATTTTATTTATTTAATATGAATATATAAAAATTAGTTTCTTTTTAAAATTATATTTAAATCTTTAAAACTCATAACATATATAAAAATTATATATATTAACTTGTCATTAAAAAAAAACATTATGAAAACAACAAAAAAAATTATATCTTTTTTTTATATTTTTTATTACAATAATATTTATATACCTATAAAATTATATTAAATAAAAATAAATTATGTTTTTTAAATAAAAATTTATATTATTGAATGATAAATTAAATAATAAAAGAAATATTAACACACTTTCGCTATAGTAATATTGACTAAATTATTATACAAAATATGAAAAATATTAGAAAATATATGAAAAAATAAAAAATAAATTGAAAAAAATTATTTCTCATAAGAATGAAACTATAATAACAATAAAATATATCTTTAAAAATTTATAAATAAAAAAATTAATTGCAATAGTAATATAATATACCTTAAAAAAAGTTACTAAAAAAATAAAAAAAATTTATATAACACATTACATTTATAGTCTTAAATAAAATAAGTATTAATACACATTCATTTTAGTAATCTTGCAAATATGTGAAAAAAGAAAAAAAATTGAAAAAAAAAATATTTTTCATAAGAATGAAACTATAATAACAATCAAATATATCTTAGAAAAAATTTATATAAAAGAAAATTTGTAATAACAATAGAATATACCTTAAAAAAAAGTTACTGAAAAAATAAAAAAATTAATTTATAACACATTACATTTGTAGTCTTAAATTTGTAGAAAATTTCTTTGATGGAAATTATGATTAAATAGATAATTTTTTAAATTTAAAATGGATATAATAAGTGATAAAGATAATATTAATTTTTTTGCATTTATTTGAAATATAAATTTGATAATTAGAGTTTAAATGGATATAATCATTTTGATAATCTTATTATTTAAAGATTTAAGATGAAAATTTTTTAAATTTTTAAAATCTTACATAAATTTACTTTAATTTTTAATGTTTTACTTAAATTTTTTTAAAAGATAAATTTTTAAATCACAAATTTTAAATCAAGATAAAAAAGATTGTTGAAATTTTTTAATAAACTTAATTTTTGTAATCTTTAAACATGTTTGAAAGATTTTGATAATTAAATAATTTTTTAATAAAGTTATTTGGTAAACAATTAAAATTATTTATTAAAAAAATAAAATCCATATTTCATATTTTTAATTTTAGAATAGATATCTCTAAATTGATTTGATTTTTAATTATAATTTGAATAATTTTATATTTAAATAAATTTAAAATTGTCTAATTTATAATTAAAAGAAACTATCTTATTTTTTAAAAAAATTATCTTACGTGTCATTTAAGAGAATTATTTACATGGGGCATCTACGTGATGTTTGTATATGTTATTATATAATATATATTAAATTTAATAAATATTACAATTATAATTATCAAATAATTGATTCTCTAATCAATTATTTGATACAGTTATATTTGATTAAATATAGTATCCATTTGAGTAATTAATGTATTTTATGTGTAACTATAAAAAGTAAATATATCAAATTAATTCTCTATAATTAAATTAATTGAATAAAATATTTTATCAATTTTTATTTGATTGATAGATTTATATTTCATTAAATATCATTTCATTTAATTTCATTTGCTAAAATATTAGTGCACGTTTGATTTCATTTGATAAAATATTAATATACCTGGATTTTAATTAATTTCATTTGTAATGTTTTATAATTTTAAAATCTAAATATTAATGCACGTTAATTTAATTAAAATTTATTTTATTTTATTTCATTATTAACTACAATAAATTTAATTTGCTTTATTATTCTAAATTAATAGATCTCTAAATGTTAATAGGAGAATAAAATATTTTAATATCAATCAACTTAATATTTTTAGATCATTATTCACTCATAATTTTTATTATTTCAATATTAACTTTCATAATTTAAATTTATCTTATTAATTGACCTACAACACACATTTTGTATAAATAGCTATAGGTTAAGCATGATGTATCTTTAACTACTTTTCATTAATTTTATATTTTTTTATCATTACTTAACTTTACTTTAATTTTTTCTCAAATTTTTACTTTGCATCCTTTATTGGTTTATACTGCTAAAAGATTATTATCTTTTTTATACTTATATTTTATATTTCTTTAATTGTGGTATTAGCTTTCTTTTTTTTTTTTTTTTTTGTTGATGATTGATTTAAAGATGATTAGGTATATATAGGGAAAATATTTCACTAGTAGAGTCACTATCATGATAGTTGATGCCACTTTTTGTTGATATTATATGTCATGTGAGTGTAACAATAAACTATTTGAAATTGATGAAAAATTTCAATGTTATTCTTGCAATATTGATGTCCCTAATCCAACTCTAAGGTAATTAGTATTTATATTTGTTATATTTGATACATGAAAAAATTATTATTCCATGATGATAATAAAAGTATTTTAAATTATTATATTATATTTATAATTGTAGAAATTTGCATTTTTTAAAGGTATAAGTTGAATATTGAGACATATGATAATTCTATAATGACAATATTCATACAGTTTAATATAGAAGTTAAAGATTTAATTAATAGAGATTTTATGAAATATTTGTTTAGGTATTGAGTTAAAAATTATTTTAATATTATTTAATATTCAAATTAATTGAATAATGTATTTATATTCATGATTTAGAAAAATAGATATTATAAAATCCAAGAGATATTTAAAGATCTTAGAGATAAAATTTGTGTGTTCGAGATGAGGGTAACCAAGTATAATTTTTATACAAGTAATACCAAATTTACAATGAATAAGGTATATTATTTAAATTCTTAGCTTGAATGTAAAAAATTATTAGAGGAGGTATGTAAAAGCTTATTGTAATAATTATGTTTGTTATAAAGTTATATAGTTTAGATTATAATGCAACTGTTATCAAATTACAAATTGCTATTTTTTTTTATCTCTTCACTTCTGTCTGTAAAATCTATTGGCTCATCCAATAAAATGACACTTGCTTCAAAGATAGCAAGAAATATTGGAAAATAAATTGTTGCATTTTCGTTTCAACAACAACTTATGGAAGATTTTTCAATGAAAAAAGTTTGTACATGAGATTGATTTTAATAATGAAAATTTTAATTTCTTAAAATAAAAAACATTATTGTCTTTTGTTTAGAGATTATTTTGATTTAATAAATTATAGTTTGAATTTTCTTTAGAACTGATGATAATTGTATAAGTATATTCAATATGTAATTACTTTATTTTATTATATTAAAATATATAAATTTAAATAAAAATGATTATATAAGTTGTAAATTGTTCATAAACTTCATAGCATATATTATCATTTAAAAAAAATTTATATTTATATAAGATTTATTGATATATGAATATACTATATTATAAATCATGCGATGCACAAAATAATTTTATTAATTTAATATGAATATATATATATATATATATATATAAACAAATTAGTTTCTTTTCAATATTGTATTCAAATCTTCAAAACTCATAGCATGTATAAAATTTGTAGATATTGACTTGTCATTAAAAAATGAACTTTTTGTTAACAGTAAAAAAAATTATATATTTTTCTTCAACAATATATTTATACACCTATAAGATTATATCAAATAAAAATAAAATTATGCCATTCTTCAAAAATAAAATATATATTAATGAATGATAAATTAAATAATAAAATAAATATTAACATACTTTAACTTTAGTAATGGTAGCTAAATTGTTATGCAAAATATGAAAAATATGTGAAAATATGTGAAAAAAATAAATAAATAATTTTTTAAAATAAGAATGAAATTGTAATAATAATAAAATATAGCTTGAAAAAACTTATAAACAAATAAAATAAACAAATTGCAATAGTAATAGAATATACAATGAAAAAAATTTACTAAAAAAATAAAAAAATTGATGTATAACACATTACATTTGTAGTTTTAAATTTGTAAAATAATTTTTTAGTGATAATTAAAATTAAATAGATAATTTTTAAATTAATTTTTAAAAATTTAAAACGGATATAATAAGTGATAAAGATAATATTATTTTTTTTGCATTTATTTGAAATATAAATTTAATAATTAGAGTTCAAATAGATATAATTATTTTGATAATCTTATTATTTAAAATTTTAAAATGAAAATTTTTTGAATTTTTAAGATCTTACATAAAATCACTTAAATTTTTAATGTCTTACATAAATTTTTTAAAAGATAATTTTTTAAATCAAGATAAAAATGATTGTTGAAAGATTTAGATAAACTTAATCTTTATAATTTTTAAACATGTTTAAAAGATTTTGATAATTAAATAATGTTTTAAATAAGATCATTTGGTAAACAACTAAAATTATTTATTAAAAAATATATTTCATATTTCATATTTTTAATTTTAAAAAATACATATTTGAATTAATTTAATTTTCAATTATAATTTGAATAATTTTGATATTTGAATAAATTTAAAATTATTTAATTTTTATTTAAAAAAATTATCTTATGTTACATTTCAAAGAGTGTTCACATAAATATTCATGTTATAAATTTATTTATATATACTGTTATAATATATAAATATATATTAAATTTCCGTGCGTCGGGTTTCAAACTAGTAAATATTAATGGATAAAGATATTTTATGAAAAAAAAGGGAAAGAAAAAAAAAGAAGAATCATCTATAAAAAAATTAAATAAATAAATAAAGAAGAAAAGCAATGTATCTCAAACTTCTCAGCCGTATATCTAGGTATCTTTGTCGTTGTTTCAGTAATGGTATTTTCTTTGTTGCGTGTGTGTGGATAACCTATTTTCTTGCATCTCAGGACACTCACTCCGTGCGCCATAGTTCTACCAATCAGGAGCCTCTCGTTCTTTCTCTCTTGCATTTTTTGCAAGAATCCAAGACCCCAACCCCAGCCCCAGCCCAGCCCTAACCGGGTAAGGTACGATTCATTCACATTATCACATACTCTCATCTGCAATTTTTCATTGCTCATCATTGCTCGTTATGGTGGCTTTTTTTTTTTTTTGGCACAAATTAACCTGTTTTGCATTGGTATCTGATTTCCCATAACCCAAAACTTTGGGTTATTTCTTTTTTGTTGATGTTGTGTTTTTTTTTTTTTAAAGCTTTTCTCTTCCTGGTCTTGTGAAGTAGTAAATCTTTTGTATCATGGGAGATGGAATTACTGGTCTTTTGGTTTAGTATAGATATTTGATATGTGAAATGAAAACTTTATATTTGCCTTCTTGTGGAAAGTTCTTCTTTTTTTGTTTTCTTGATCAATAAGGAAAACATGGGAAATACCCAGATGGGAATTTCGGATTAGTTTGTGAAAATTTGGTTGGTGATCCTCTTTAGTTGAAATACTATATGGATTTCTAGAACAGGTCGTATTTGGTTTTATTTCCATTCTTTTTCCAGAAATGAAAGACTCGTAGGAAGAAATGCAAAAGCTTGTTTCCGGTTCCAGAATCTAGATATGGTATCTGTTGTCTTCTTTATGATTACTTTTGGAAAACTACATTTCAGGAAAGGAATTTACGTGTTTCCCATGTTTCTTGACTGGAATATTCTTGTTCAAGGAAAAATTCAAAGTAAAGCAATTACATTTTTTTCCAAAAAAGTGTATGTTTCCATATTCATAATCTGCTTTTCCTTGCCATGCTTCTATTCATTGTTTATTAGCTTCCCAGTGGGTGTTGGCCCATCTGGATGGAATTACATTATTCTTCTTGATGTTTATGTGTTTTTCACATAATTTTTTTACTGGAATTATATTGGCTCTTTTGCTTTGAGGTTGATTGATTTACTGCTTTTATCTGTTAACTTTCTAGTATTGTGATTTTCATATGGTATGTTTTAAGTGCTGTAACTTTCCTTGGATGATATGTAGAGTTGGATAAAAATAGTAGTTCCACATTGCTCCACTCATGGATCTCCAAAATCAATCTCATTGCTCCATCTGCATGACAAAAGATAGTTGCCCAACAGTACGCTCCCAGACAAAGCTAATGAATATTCTAATAGACAGAAGAAATCCCCAGGCAGTTCAGTCTATTTTTGACAGTTTGATTGAAGGAGGCCACAAACCATCCTTGATAACATACACAATTCTCTTGGCTGCCTTGACCATCCAGAAGAACTTCAGTTCCATACATTCTATCATCTCTCAGGTGGAAGAAAATGGACTGAAGCCTGATTTAATTTTTTTCAAAGCTGTTATAAAAGCTTTCTCTAAATGTGGAAATATAGAAGAAGCGATGGAAACTTTCTGGAAGATGAGGGAGAGTGGTTTGAAACCCACTACTAGCATTTATATCTCGCTAATCAGAGGGTATGCGACTGCTGGTAAGCCTGAAGAATCTCTTAGACTGATAGATCTGATGTCCCTGGAGAGGAATGTCAAACCTGATCTCAGGACCTATAATTTTCTTGTCAGAGCTTGGTGCAAAAAAAAGAACAAGGCAGAGGCTTGGAATGTGGTCAATAAGATGATTGCCTCTGGCATGCAACCAGAAGCGTTTACCTACAATGCCATAGCAACTGCTTATTCACAGAATGAAGAGACTGATCAGGCTGAAGGCATGATTTTAGAGATGCAGAAAAATGGTGTGCAGCCTAATGAGTTTACTTGTAGCATCGTTGTCAGCGGGTATCATAAAGAAGGTAGGACCAAGGAGGCCTTGAGGTTTGTGTATAGGATGAAGGATCTTGGGATTTGTCCTAATCTTGTGATGTTTAACTCACTGATCAAAGGTTTTGTTGACACCATGGACAGAGATGGGGTTAATGAGGTAAGTTAAAACAATGATTCTATTTATCTCCAATTCCTTTCATCTAGAGCAATACAGGATTTTATAATTCCTATAGTTTTTTGGCTGGGTTCTGTTTGTTTTGATTTCTAAGTCTTATATATAAGGATCCACTTATATTAGTGTAAGACACATTTTTTTGACTCTTAGATCAAAATTAAACCCATAACACTTAGCCATTTTGATCCAAGGGTCAAAAAAACATGTAATTCATACACTAGTGTAAGTGGATCCCTCCTCATCCATATGTATATTATATATATTATATATTATGTGTGTGTGTGTGTGTGAATATTTGCCTTGTGTACTGAATATTTCCATCTAGAGAACATAAATTCATGCTAAGCTTTGATATGCAGGTACTTTCTTTGATGGAAGAATTTAGGGTCAAACCTGATGTTATAACCTTTAGCACCATTATGAATGCATGGAGTTCAGCAGGATTTATGGGTAAATGCAGGGAAATCTTTGATGACATGGTGAAAGCAGGTATACAGCCTGACATTTATACCTACAGCATTCTTGCAAAAGGTTATGTGCGAGCTCAAGAACCAGAGAAAGCTGAAGAACTTTTAACAATCGTGATTAAATCAGGATCCCACCCAAATGATGTAATCTTTACAACAGTAATCAATGGTTGGTGTAGAGCTGGCAGAATGGATTATGCAATCAAGATTTTTGATCAAATGTGTGAATATGGAGTATCTCCCAACTTGAAGACCTTTGAGGCCTTAATTCGGGGATATAGTGAAGCCAAACAGCCATGGAAAGCAGAAGAACTTCTCCAAGTAATGGAAGAATACGAGGTTCACCCTGAGAAATCCACCATCTTCCTCGTAGCTGAAGCTTGGCATGCCACTGGATTGACAAAAGAGGCATATAGAATTCTGGGGACTGTTCATAGTAAGGAACAGGAAACGGAGACAACAAAAGACATACCAATTGGAAGTTTAAAGAAACCATATAACAAGCAAACTACAACTGCCTTTAATTCCAATCTTTTACAGATACCAAGTGTAGTAACAGGTGATGAAAAGTGGTCAGCTCTTTCTCTTAAAAAAGGTCGCATGGTGCAGAGAGATGCCCATTTGGATTGCTCACGGTTTACTACTAAATCAATGCGCCTTCCACTTGGTTGTAAATTTGGAGCAAGGGGTCCAATTGTTTGCCGGAAGCAATGTCAAGGGCAGCTCGGAATTTATGGCCAGCTTACACATTCGTGTAAAGTAGTTTTTCTTAACTAGGAGAAAAACAAAGGTTATGAGCTTTTGGTGTAATTTAATTTCTAAAGAAACAGAAATTGTCATGAAAATACTATAGATAGTAAATAGAGCTCTGCCACATAGAACTCCTTTATTATTATTATTTTTTGGCTTGCTGAGAAATGCAAGTATGGTTCTTTGCATCTGTTTACGATCTCATTTTTCTATTCTTTTAAATAAACATGCTACATAGAAAAACAGTGGAAAATTACAATTCACAAATGCTAATTGCTAATTACAAACATTGGAAATGCTAATTGCTTTGTTTTTTTCTCGGAAGATAGCTACACATATGGAGATATTCAAAATTAATAGAATAATTCATTTTTGCAACAATAATCTGTTTTATAATTGAATTAGTTACATGCAAAAAGCAATTGTGCCACATTTCCATTCCTCAAAGATTAAATTCATCTTTCTAGCTCATCATTGCATTAGATCTCCATTATGATTTAACTCAGCTTCTATTTCTATGCAACTTTGAGACTTCTTTATCAGTAGATTGAGAAGGAATTTTGCTAAGAAGCCATACTAGAAGAACACCAATAAGAGCACCAGAGAGATGTGCAATGTGATTGACACTTTGCAAGGAATAGGAAGATCCAGACAGGCCAGTTGAAGCTTGGGCCGCTTCCATCACCTGCCGAAGCCAAGACACAACATTAAGGAGATTAAAACCCTCAGATTGATTCAATACAATCTTTCAAGAACATAAAAAAAACTGCTATCCTTTTAAAATTTTAGACCTTCTCTATAACAAATTGACCCAATATAAGCACTTCAAGGATCTTCCTCCAGTCCCAAGACATCTACAACAAGAAAAAAGGGGTTAAGAAGTTTGTTCTCAGTGTCTGGACAATTTATTATTCCTTATAAAAATAGAAATTGAAAGTTAAAAATGAAAAAACAGAGGTGCACTTGGTTACATACATTTATATATGAATGGACAATTTGGCATACCTTTACAAGGACGCTGATTGCAAATAACCCGAAAACGGCACCAGAAGCACCAACGGAAACTGCATTTCTTGGTAAAACCAGCCATGAAACAATGTTTGCTCCGGCACCTGTAAAAACGTAAGAAAGCCACAACGCAAAATTTCCTTCCTCTTCTTCAATGAGTTTCCCTGTTTTATGAAGAAGGATACAATCAAAACCCAAAATCAATCAAATTTGAACAACATCCATGTTTACAAATTACAAGCATTCTCAATTCAAAGGGAAGAGCAAAATTCTTACCAAAAATGTACAAGAAGAAGAGATTGCTAGAAAGATGCTTCCTGAGCAGGACAATAAGCAGAATAATGAACATCTAAGCAAACAATTAAGACAAACGTGCTGGATAACCGCAATTCATTTATCAAAAGATTTAAGCTTTTTCTACTTGGTCTTCCATGCTATTGATATCCGATGTCTATGCAATCTCAGTAGAAATAAAGAGCTTACCAGTTAGCATGACAAAACGTTGATGTCACAAATTGGTACCAAGCAGGCCAACTATGATACAAGTATAGAGACTGAATGCCCTGAACCTATTGAAAGGGAAAAAAGAAACTCAAATTTTGGAGTCAAGAAGACTAATAATGGAACCCATTCAAGGCTTCATTTTTCAATAGCCAAATATAGCACAGAAACCATTTGGGTTAATTGTTGCTATTAGGGAAAATCCCCCATCAATATCAAACAAAGAGTGTAACCAAGAAAATTCAAAAGAGTACCTTAAACAAGTGATCAGCTGCATATATTCCAAGATTAAGAAGTATAATCCAAAATACTCCATTAACGCGCTTCTCTGGTTTTCGCCTATCACCTGGCTTTCCAAGTTCTAGCTCCGAAATAATATCTGAAAAAAAATGGGATTGATAAATTGTTCCTTCCTAAGATTTATCAACATTTGCACATGAACTGCTCGGGAAAATTCCCAACACAGAGAAGCTTGTTCAAAAGTCAATACGCATATGATTCTCGATATTGAAAAAAAAAAATCCACCCACAATTATTTAAATTAAAAATAGGGATTTTCATAGGACTAAATTCCAAATAACCTGAGCCGTTCATCTTGCATACCAAGCGAGGTCGAACGGTGGGTAGAGACTGATGAAGGGGAAACTCGAGGGGAGCAGTGAGTCTCGGAGAACCAGAAAAAAGACGAAGTGTGGAAAATTTTGGGAGACGATTAAAAGCGGGATGTGAAAAAGAAGCTAAAGGCATTAATTTGCAAGGATATGGCTTCGGTGTCAAGACCTGTTGAAGCTGAAACTGCCCCATTTCTTTGAAAAAAACTGTCATCGGAGGGAACTCAAAAACCCGGGATTTTGAAGAAAGTTAGATGTTAGAGTTGAAACAGGCCGAATGGGCCTTTCTGGTTTGGTCTGGACCTTTCTTAGAGTTGCTTTCACTAATACGCCGAGAAGGACTCAAAACCAGGCCCAAAAACTGGGTCATAACTGCACCTGTTCAAGAACTGAGTTCTCTGTCAAAATCCAAAAGTTCACTCAAATTTGAAGAAGGTTTTAATAAAAAAATTAAAATCCATTGAATTGAATTGGATATAATTTTTAAATTTATTTAAATTTTAAGTTGGATCTTGAATAAAAGAATTCAAGTCTAAGCCAAATTTGGCTTGATCTGAATAACATATATAATTAAAATATTATAATTATATAAGTATATAAATATAAATATGAATTTTTATTTTTACATTTTATTTTTTTAATTTTTTTAATTTTTTATTATATAAATTAAATTTAATAAATAAATTTAAGATTTATTTTTTAAATTTAAATCAATTTAAAAAATTTTAAGATCTAAAATATTAAGTCAAATCAAATCAAAATTAATATATAAACTATTAATATCAAATATAATTTGATGCAAACTCGATTTGATTATACTTGTAATAATCACTTTTCTTTAAGTGGTTGGTTGATAGAGGCATGGATGCTTATGACTGTAGACACAAAAAGAAAAAGTCCCACAGCTAGATTTAGGACGATGCATGAGCCTATAGCCCTATTCCTTTTCCATTGTCCCTTCTAATTGGGCAAAGGAAAGGAAAGGAAGAAAACACAGTCACAACATTATATATATTGCATTTGCCCATCTTCTTCTCTAGGCAAAATGGGAATCCTCCGTGACCTTTGTAATTGTAGTTTCATCAGAGCTAAGCTCCGGTTCATCTTGGTTTGTTTTTAGCGTTGGAGTGGTGTGGTTCCCAGAATCAGGACGGCAATTTAAAAGGATCTTTATTACGTAAGTAAAACTGCGTTCTAAAAATAGCTATTTATGGACGTGACGAACAGCAAATTAAGTAGCAAAGCTCTTTGGTCAATCACCAATTAGTACTGTTGTGGGTCTGATAATTACACTCTCTTTATCATGTTGGATTTGGCTTCTGTGGTAACCCTGACCCTAACTTAGCCATGCACTTGGATTTCCACATTTCTGTGATCTACATGTACCAGCAGTACTTTTCAATTAGTTGTCAAAATCACAGTCAAGTTGCCATGCCAGGATAATGATATATTTACACTGAGCTGGTGACTTTCTTTCTTTTATTACTACTAATAGAATACTAATTTAATCATGCAAAGCAATCATTTTGTTTTACGTCAAGCATATTCAACCTGAAACATCTCTATCAGTTTAATTATTTTTTGGTATTGAAAATGGCTTTGTGGGGATTTTGTCCAAGTTGTTCAGGCACTAGCTAGCTTCATCTTTTCCCTGTCAAAATAAGAGGGATGGGGACCTTCACTGCTGGCTACGTAGCTTAAAAGCATGTGCCAAACCCTAACCCATCCCTAAAATTTCCGTTTCATACTGATTCAAACTCCTAAAAAGGTCACTGCTAACCCCCTCAATACATCTAACCTTTTAATACATGTAACCCTGGTTTGAATCTTCTTACAATCTTTTGGTCGGATGTCCAAAGAAACAGAAAGTGGTCCTTGCAAAATGTTTGGTCAATTGTTCAACTAGCAAGCGAATCTCCTTCACTGTTAAAACAAAACAACAAGATGAGTATTGTGTCGTGAGCTCGGGAGTCATTGTCCCCGATCTGTCCACCTCTTTTAAATCAAATGTCTCCTCCAAATAATTTCTTCAAAATTTCTCTTTTTCTCCTTTATTTTTTTCTTTAATTCAAAATTATTACGTCAGCTTTGATAAATTGTGGTGTAATTGTGATATTTAAATAGAAAAATTCAAACCAAAATGATTTAATCACTTGCAATATCAATAAAGAATACAAAGACAATAAACTTTTAAAAGTATATTATTTTTTTATTTTTGATGGTATCACCCTTTTTTAGCAGTTCTTGTGATTATAATTAGTTGGGTTTTTAGGTCAAGTTTATTTTTGAGTGTTTAACAAAGAAAAGCTGACATTAATGTTATCATTTTAAATTTGTATGGAAACTATCAAAATCCTAGGCTGCTAGTGATGATGGTTAATTTATACTTATAATTTTTTCTTTTTTCTTTGAATTACGAGTTTTTTTATGTTAAAAAAATTAAAAGTATATATGAAAAAAAAAAATCATTTGCTAAAGCAAAGGTGTAGCACAAAAGAAAATATGAAGCCTAATCAAGAATAATCTCATCATTCGGCTAATATTGCTTTGCTAGTCCCCTTGAGTGATCACTTGAGGTTTTTTTTTTTTTTTTCTTTGTCTTTTCTTTATCTTCTTATTTTGTCTTTTGATTTTGAGTATTTTCTAGTCTAAGTGTAAGCAATTTCCCCATATATATTCCTAGCAAAATTTGATGATATAAATCATGTACCAAAAAGGGAAATTTAATAAAAGATGGAAAATAAAACTTAATGGAATAGAATTACAAATTATAATATGTACTTTCTTTTTTATCTAAAGTTTAGAGATTGATATTTTATTATGGAATTAAGTTCTTAATTATTATAACTAGCTAGACATGTAAAATATTACTATTTTTTTGGATAAATTTAGAAACACTTTGGATACTAATTTTTTTTTAACAAAGAAAATTGTAATTTATTAATAAAAAATTTAAATTTTAAATATTAAAATTTTATATTTATTAAATATTATTTTTTAAAAACAACAGAATAAAGCAACTGAATTAAATTTTAAGTTCAATTTCAATACTATATTCATGACAAAAGGTATGTTTATGTCTCTAAATTTTTAATGTTAAATGACACTTAAATTCAACCTAAACTGATACTACTAAATTGACTAATTTTTACTTCAACATTTGCAAGTCAAATATAATAATTTAATGACAGGTTGACAACCACATGTATCACATTAAAAGTACATTATTTTTTTGGCCAATAAAAGTAAATTAATAAAATTCAAACTTTTTGATTTTTTTTAATTCACATAAAAAGCTTATACTCCTATATTTTCTTTTTTTTTTAAATACAAAATTAATTTTATATATAAAATATTTTTGAAAGTAAAATGTCATGTTGACATAAAAGTGTAATCGAATTAAATCGAATCGATACAGTAAAAAATTTAAGTCCAATTCGAAATTTATTATTAAAAACTTAATTTGAGATTAAATTTTAATTTTTAAATTTAAATTTGACTCAAAATAAAAATTAAATTATTTAAATTTATTCGATTAAATTCGTTTAATAAAAATAAATTTGATTTTCATATTAAATTATTAATTTAAATTCGGTTATATATATTCAAACTTTAGTTTAAATTCAAATTAATATATAAAAATAAAATAATAATTTTAATTAAAATAATACAAATATATTAAAATTTAAAATTTTCATTAAACATGTCAATTATTCAAATTGAACATTAAAATATTTAAATCCAATTCATTCAATAAATTAAATTATTTGAATTTAAATTTAATTCTATAATAATTTAATCGAATTTATATTTTATTCTAATCATAACTTTCAATTTTTATTTTATCATTTATTCTGCTGACTGGACGAGGAAGCGGAGGTCCATCCGAGTGGGCCAAGCAGTCAACAGCCGATCCGAGAATTAACAAGGAAAATTAATGATTAACGTTCAGTTTAGAATCTCCCATTTTTTGTCCTTTCTCTCACTTTCTAAATATAAAATCTCAATGTTCGGAGGAGAGAAGCTCATTTCCACAGAAAAAACAGGGACGTAAGAGAGAAGAGAGTCAAAGAAGCCTAACCAATTTTTGAATTCCTGAATCGTATGTTGTTTTCTTGCCTTTTTCCTCCCTGGTTTCTTGGAATCCAAACGCCTTTAACGTTGTTCTTCGTAAGCCAACGGTTTAAGAGAGAAAGTTTTCAAACTTAGTAAAACAGAGATTTTGATTCGGAAAAAGTGTTGAAATTAAAAAATTATTCGTTCAATAGAGAAAAAAAAAAAGAAAGTTGAAATAAAGATGGCGCAATTTGGAGTGAAACGGAGTGTTTTGAGATCGATAATGTTGAATTCCCTCAGCTTTGCTTTAGCTTTCACGTTAGTTTCAGCTGAGAGAAGCTTGAAGCATGGAGAATCCACCAAGGAATCTGAAACAAATTATAATTCTTTTCTCAAAGCTATTAATTTCTTCTGGCAATCTAATCAATCAGGTTATCACCATGTTTGGCCTGTAAGTATATATTCCAATCCATTTCCTCTTACCTTACGTTATAAACATGCATTTTTTCTTCATTAGATTATTGTTTTAACGTATTTGATCACCTTAATTTGTTGTATTTTAAAGTTTTTTTAATGCTTTGTTTGGTATAGGAAATGGAATTTAGTTGGCAAATTGTGCTGGGAAGTATAATTGGATTCTTTGGAGCAGCGTTTGGGAGTGTAGGAGGAGTTGGTGGAGGTGGCATTTTTGTTCCTATGCTTAGCCTTGTTATTGGGTTTGATCCAAAGTCAGCCACAGCTATTTCAAAATGTAAGATGGGTAATTGATCTTTTTTCATTGAAGAAATAAGAATACATTTAATGTGATTTTAGAATGATGGTAAAAAATTTTATGAAGCAAATATTAATGGGAAAAAAAAAAAGAAAAAGGTACTGCATTTGGGTAAAAATTGCTTCAGTAAAACTTTTGACCATTTGGGTTTGTCCTTGAGAGTAGAGGAAACAATTTTGTTGCAGGAGATCTCTTGAATTTAATAAAAAAATGGGACTTTATTACAAATCTGTAGAAGGATTCTGCTATTGAATCATAACTCTAAGTTCCACTTTAAAGGCAAAAAATTGAAATTTACTCATCTTTTTGGTGAAAGCCCAAAAGTAGGCTTAAAAACTTTCAGAATTGTTCAAGTGGCATACTTTGAGAGATTCAAAATTGCAGTTACCATTTGATTGTAATTTGTAAGCTACCTGTGATTTTAAGGTTTTGAAATTTCCTAGCCAAGACAAAAAAAGAGAAATAAATAGGTGTATTAAGATGCTTCCAAAAATTATGTAAGTTCTAAATGCAGCATTTTGAGAATTTTGAATGCTAATAGTGAAAATATTAGAAAACTTGTTAGCAAAACAGATTACTCTGTTATACTAAATGAGTTCATTAATTCTATGTTTTTGGTTTCCTAGGTATGATCATGGGTGCAGCAGCTTCAACTGTTTACTACAACCTTAAGCTAAGGCATCCTACACTTGATATGCCTGTCATCGATTATGATTTGGCTCTGCTTATCCAGCCAATGCTCATGCTGGGAATTAGCATAGGAGTCGCATTTAACGTGATCTTTGCAGATTGGATGCTCACAGTTTTACTTATCATTCTCTTTATAGGTAACGGATTGCTGATTTATTGTTGCATTTGCTGGGCATAATGTTCTTGTAGCACAATCTGTTAATTTTGATGGGATGGCTTGCAGGAACATCAACAAAGGCATTCTACAGGGGTGTTGAAACGTGGAAAAAAGAAACCTTACTGAAAAAGGTACTTTTGTTAACTCATAGTCTCATAATTTTACGAATAACTGTGCTTTGAGCTCTGTATGTTTGTTCTACATTCCATTGTGATTTTAAAGGATAGTTCCTTCCATAATATTTTAAATAAGTTCTTTCCGCCATCATGAATTAGAAATTACAAGATTTCAAGGATGTTTGATATAAAAAAAAATATCATACTTGCTTAGATAATTTCATTCAGAATGTTGTGCCTTTGCTGCTTGATCTGCTAAAACAAAGAGGAAACTTCCTCATTCAGTGTGTGGTGTGTTTATATTACTAAAATTAATTGCTAATTATCTGAAAGCTACTTGTCTTGGATATTAGGAGGCTGCCAGGCGTTTGGAATCAAATGGTCAGTTGCTTTTTTCCTTTACTAAGTCCTTAAGATCATTCAGTGATCCTTTCCTCTTGATTTTCCTTCTGAAATAAACCTAAATATTTCTCATACGATCAGGTACTGGTAGTGGAGATGTGGAATACAAGCCTCTTCCTAGTGGCCCAAACATTGACCTTCCGAAGGATAACACAGACAAAGAAGTGAGTTGATTGTAACCAGCTGTTGTTCAATTCCATTTTTCTCAGATTTAATTAGCGCAATCATTGCAGGTCACTATTTGGGAGAACGTTTGTTGGAAAGAACTTGGGCTTCTTTGTTTTGTTTGGATTGCATTCCTTGTACTGCAGATTGCCAAGGTTATGTTTCTTCTGCTTTATTTATGGTTTAAGTATGTTAAATTTATGAATTATTGAGCCGAAACTGATAACATATGACTTTTGGCAACAGAATCATACAGTTATTTGTTCAGCAGTGTATTGGGTGTTGAACTTGTTGCAGGTACATTCTATCTTTTTCACCTCAATTGCCTCTTTCCATTTGTTGAATTACATGATCAAGATATAATTTTTTAATGTTAAGGATCAATGATGATCCTCGTCACGACAACTTCTTTGAAACCTCGTTTATGGCATCCTTTCTGCTTTCCAGATCCCTGTTTCACTTGGGGTATCTATTTATGAAGCAGTTAGTCTGTATAAAGGACGGAGAGTAATTGCATCCAACGGAGATCAAGGCACAAATTGGCGATTGCATCAGCTTGCTACCTATTGTGCTTGTGGACTACTAGCCGGAATTGTCGGTGGTCTACTTGGCCTAGGTGGAGGATTTATCATGGGTCCACTATTCTTGGAACTGGGTGTCCCTCCTCAGGTGAGTTTCTTTGTGTCCTTCAGATATAAATTGGAATGATGGTAACATGAAGGGAAAATGTGTTCTTTGTCTCATTCTGACCTTGAAGTTTATCCATTGTTAATTCTAATCTTTTGGCTCCCACTGACTTCTGTACAGGTCTCGAGTGCTACTGCTACCTTTGCCATGATCTTCTCCTCATCCATGTCTGTTGTAGAATATTACCTTCTGAAACGATTTCCCGTACCATATGGTAAGCTGGAAACTCACAACAACATGATAATTTTATTGAAGCTTCTTCTCATCATTTGGAAATAAAACTAGGGAACATCCAAACCTGCAAGGGATAGGGGTAGTGGTGTCAGCAATCTTGCCTCTAGATTAGGATAGGGGTAGTGGTGTCAGCAATCTTGGGTATGGTTGTTGTTCCACATTTTTATGGAGTTACATTTTTCCTACTTTATTTGACAGCTCTCTACTTCACTGCTGTGGCTACCATTGCTGCCCTTATCGGCCAGCATATTGTCAGAAGACTGATAATTGTATTTGGAAGGGCATCTCTGATCATCTTCATTCTAACCTTCACAGTTTTCGTTAGTGCGGTATCACTAGGTGAGCTTTGATATTCCTGTTATTGGTTTGGCAAGACACTTTTTCATGCATCAAACTTGTTGACATCGAGTCTCGAATTTGAGAAGTAAAATCCTGAAATCACTAGAGAAAAAAAATAATTAATGACAAAAGCAGAGAATGTTCTTTGCTTTTGCATTCTTACGCTCAAGTTATAAAGATAAAAAGGAAAGTACAAAGTAAAGAAAGTTGAAGAGAGTAAGATTTTTAAATACAACCTGAATAATTCTATTTATAAATGAAAGGTAAGAAAATTGTGAGGTAAATTGACGATATAATAAGATTGGCTTGTCATTATGCATGTTAAGTCAATTTGATATGTGGATGCAAAAATAAAAAATATCATTATATGTCTAATGACAATCTCTAACGAGAAAAAAAAGATATTTTATCTTTTAAATAAAAAAATGTCATGAACAAAATTGTCTAAAATTTTTTTTATTTTTTATTTTTGCTAGGTGGTGCTGGCATATCAAACATGATAAGGCAGATTGAGAGGAATGAATACATGGGATTTGAGAACCTCTGCAAGTATGAAGGCTGACATGTAATTTTCTTTTTCTTTTTTCTCATTTGATCCCCTAATTACAATTAACCTGGTGTGTTATTTGTTGTTTAAAAGCAATAAAAATTGCTTTCTGTTTGTACTGTTTCTTGGGCTACTCTCATTTTTCACTTTCCATGTTGTATTTAACAAAGACTCTTGGGGATGTTCCAAAATGGAAAAAGAAACACATGGACTTGTAGTGACAACAGAATTTTTAAAGTAATGGAATATGTAAATTTGTAATTTCCCTTTTTTTTTTTTTTTGGAGTTTTATCTCTGCTTCTTCACCCTTCCTGATGTCAGAGACATTGCATTGGCTTATAGTTATTCATTTACTCTCAAAAGATTCAAGACAATCTTGACTTTCTGAATTAGGGATAGTAACATGTCGGATTCGGAGATTTTTGTTCTCCTAATTTGATCTGGTTCGGTATCAAAATATTATTTTAATATAAACTATTATTTATTATTATTTTTAATATAAATATAAAATTAAATAAATAATATATATATATATATATGTATACTAATTTGGGGTGAAGCAGGTTTGCATAAAATCAACTTTGATCTTATCTTGACTTGGTTTTAAGAACATTAAATTCATCCAAAATTTAATTTTAAAAAAAATTAAATACATATAATTAAATCGAATCATAATATGATAGATATGAATTAAATTATTATTTTTACCTAAATTGTAAGGCTAATAATTTCACAAATTTCAAATTTTCAATGGTATTTGTATAATGGTTGTCATCTTTAATGACAAAGTTGGGAACAATCATTAGACTTTGCATGATTCGCAAAATATTTCAATGTTTCAAAACCCATTTTGCCTATTTTATGACTCTCAAACTACTCTCTCTCTCTCTCTCTATATATATATATATTATATTACAACCTGAGAAAAGCTATAAAATTATAAATACCACAAAATCACTAAACATGGTATATCTATTACAATTGAGAAAAGTTTGAAAATAATATTATATGCGTAAGATAAGTTGATACGTAAATTTATTAATGCATTGGATTAGCTGTTTGACTTATCGGTTAGGTTCATCTCGGGTTGGTCTTAGATATGATTTTGAGACTTGGGCCGACTCGAATTGAGGTTTAATGAAAAATATTTTTTATTTAAATTAATTCTAAAATTATATCAAACATTAATAAAATTAATTTTTTAGTATTTTTACCAACAAATGGGCCAATTCAAGCCCACTTAACTGGGCCTTCGGCAATAAATTTTGAATTGTAACAGAACTTGGCCCATCCGGCCCATTACAGATCTAATTATTGGCGGTGGCGGTCGCGGTGGCGGTAGCTTAGTTAAAACGCTGTTATTTGGAAAAAGGCCAGCATCAATCAGCGATCGCATTGGGCGACATTTTTGTCAACGCTATCTGATCTCCCAAGATTCCCGTAACTGAAGGTTGATTAAAAAAACCCTAATTTTGCCTCTCGTCTCCCAAGAGAGAAGGAAAAAAAAAAAAACTTTGAAGAAAAAAATGGTGTTTTACTTCAAAGCCCGACCTGAGGCTGGCGATTACACCATTTTCATGGGTCTCGACAAGTACGAGAACGAGGAACTCATCAAATACGGCTTCCCCGAAGACATTTGGTAATTTCTTTTTTGATTTTCTTTCGTTCGATTGTGCTATAAATACAAGCATTTAGGGTTTTTTTCCCCTCTTTTAGAATTATGTAGGGATTTTGGTGATTGAATTTAGTTTTGTTACAGGTTCCATGTGGATAAAATGTCTTCTGCTCATGTTTATGTAAGACTTCATAAAGGTCAAACCATCGATGATATAAGCGAAGGTTTGCTTGAAGATTGTGCTCAGCTTGTTAAAGCTAATTCAATCCAAGGTTTATTTTAATTTCATTAATTCCTTTTTCTTTTTTTTTTTTTGGGAAATTTGATAATTTAAATATTGTGCCAAGCTTGTTAAAGCTAATTCAATCCAAGGTTTATTTTAATTTCATTAATTCCTTTTTTTTTTTTTGTAAATTTGATAATTGAAATATGCATTATAATAAGCTGCAATCTTTTTTGTCTTAATTATTATGTGAGATTAGGCAACAAAGTGAACAATATCGATGTTGTTTACACTCCATGGTCCAACTTGAAAAAAACTCCTTCCATGGATGTTGGCCAAGTTGGCTTTTACAATTCCAAGATGGTAAACTCCTTTATTGCTTTGATTATTATTAATATTTTTGTTCATCTGTTTTCATCTAGAGTGGATGTTTGTCTGATTTTATCACGTGGTTTAGGTCCGGACTGTGAGAGTGGAGAAGCGGATAAATGAGATAGTTAACAGGTTGAACAGGACTAAAGTGGAAAGGAAACCTGATTTGAAAGGTAAGCAAATGTCTGCGGTTTCATGTTCTGCCATGACATAGGACTAAAGATAGTATTATCATTGTTTACAAAAGAAATTTGGTGTGATTTCTGTCGTTATATATTCTGCTTGTTATGCTTTTCTGTATCCTGTTTTCCATCCTAGTATGCTGTTATGCAGTAATGTTGGTTTTGCCTTTTGCATCTTCTGTACTACTCTACATTAGTTTTTGAGATTAGAATTCTTTTATTTGTTCTTGATGTAACTAGTGCCGCTTAATATAATATGTTGTTGCAGCTGAGAGAGAAGCGGTTAGTGCAGCAGAAAGAGCAGAGAGAAAGCAACAGCTGAGGGAAAAAGTGAGGCTCTTTTTCTTTCACTGTTTTTTCCTTGGTAGTTTTGATATTGGTTACATCAGCTGATGGCTTATTTGGGAATGCTGTAGAACATGAATATCCTAGATGGTTGTAGCATGAAAATGAAAGTTGTCCTATTGGATTTTGCTTAGGGTAAAAAATACTTATACTATTCCAGATTCATGAAGGGCAAAAGCAAGATAATCTGTAAAGAATAAAGGATAATAGCACATATAAATTGTATTGAATTAAATATATGTGAAATGTTGTAGTTCTATATACATCAAAATATACCTGGATTTTGTTTCTTGTTCAGTTTCTTAGACCAAATACATATATGTGCTAATAAATATAGTAATGACTGGAAACTATGATCAGAATGGCACAATGTTTCAATGGACTGGTGTTCAGCTTCTCTTTGCTGCTAATAATTAAGATATTTGCCTTGAAACCAAACAACTTCCTGTGGTTTTGTTAATGTAGCTTATTGAATACTTACACAATAGGTGCTAAATGTTGGAGTGTATTTACAATTCTTGGATTGCAATTCTGTGATCAGAAAATCTTCAGATTATAGTCTGATACTGTGCACTCATTTGCACATACACACATTCTTATTTGGATGTCTAAAATGAAAATCCATTTGATTTCTCTGGCAGAAACATCGTGAGGAACTGGAAAGGCTTGAAAAGGAAAGACAAGCAGAGATAAGAAGCTACAAGGGTCTCATGGTCTCTGAAAAGATGACATCAAACAAACAAATTGCAGCGACAAGCAAGTCCTTGCAGGAACTTGAAGAGGATTTTATGTGAAACATATTGGTATTTGAAATCCGATCAAGATGCTGCTAGCCGCCCGTCAAAGAGGATTTTATTTGCCTCATGAATAAGTCATCTAAGTCCTGAATATTTATAAGAAAAAAAGACGACATGGAATGGGAACGAACTTCAAGGAGTAGAAAGACGTCAAGATTGAGGTTGGGGGAGAAGAACTTCTATTATAGTTTTAATATATTCTACAAAACATGATTCATATCTCCATTGCCGCTTAACGTGTGATCTTTTTTGCATTTTTAACATTTATTTTGATTGCAAATTTGCAAATGATCATGTCATATTACCATGGTTTTGATTTTGTTTTGCTTATGTTTGCCACATAAACTCACCGTTATCATCAAGCGATGCAGAAGGGAAGGAAACGTGGAAGTTAATTACTGCAGATGAAATGTCGACAACTTTATATCGATAAAATGACTACTAGGATTGTTTAACATGGTGTTTCTTTCTTTCTTTCTTTTTTGGGTCATGTTTCTTATTAGTGAGAGATTTTGGTTAATGAAGCACGCAAAGGAAGTTACGGGAGGTTCTAATAAATGACTATACTTCAATCAAGCACTCATGGAATGGGACGTCAAGGGGTAATTTTGTGTTGACGTGGCAATGGGACAAAGATATTTGGTAAAAACATGACAAAAAAACAATCGGTGTTTTATCAATAAACTAATAAATTATGCGATTGTTCGTAAATAATATGTTGTCTCATGCATGGAGGATGGATTAAGGACATTTAAATTAGAGATAACAAATTCTAATTTTCATAACTTGCAAATCAACATATTTTACTATTTTGGATCATTCTTGAAAATATTTCATTACCAAACTTAATATTGTAGAGAATCATCAACCACTTAATTTAAATTACATAATTTTTAAATTAATCATTCTCACAAATTAAACTTAAGACTTAAAACAATCATTTTTATTTTGAATATCACGATACAAATAAAACAAAAATATATTTTTTTTAAGTTCACTTTTGAACAATGACAACAAAATTTTTTAAACTTAACAAATTGAATTAAAAATCACCAAACTTGTCGCATGTTTTACATTTTTTTTATTTTTATTATATTTTAAGAAATATGTATAGTTATATTAATTCATCTTGTGAAACTTAAAAACTCTATTATGAATGGATGTAACAAGTTTTTTTTTAAATTTTTTTTAAATTAACCAAAACAATGTTAAAAAAAAAAAATAATAATAAAAAACTTGTAATCAAGAAAATATAATTTTGCCAAAGAATATGAACATATAATTTATTTATTTCTTATTTATATCTTACAATTGGACTTGGATATAAATACATTTGTTGTCGGTGCTACAAGTTCATATCATCAAAAGTCATTAAATATTCAATTTTAGTTTTACTTTTAATTGCCCAAAAGAAAAAGGAGAAAAGAAAAATAAATTCGGCCGTTGAGAATTTGAATGAAAAGGGCCCAAAGCATACGGCCATGATTCCAACGTGGACAAATCCGGGCCATCAAATCCAAAACATGTTCGATCTTTAACCATAGGGTTTGAAACTCCATCAGTCCGCCCCTTTATGTTTGAATAGCTCTCCAGACCGTTTCACTCTCTCTCTCGCTTCAATTTTCTCCCCCTCATCTCTTCTCCTTCTTCTATAATCCTTAGCAGTGCATTTACAGATCTTTATCTTTAATCTCTCTCCATATCTTCGCTTCGATCTGCAAATGCGCGCCGTCTCGACTTCCTCTCTCATCCGGCTATCTTTTCCTTGGTTTTCGAAGCTCAGTTCGGTGTGTGCTGTTTTTCTCACCTTATGAATTTGAAATTTCTTCAATCCATCTTGATGTCTAGGTTAAACACTGAACAATTTGCTTTAATGACTATCGGTTCTTTATCCAACTTCTGAGTTGTTGAAAATTGAATGAATTTAAACTTTGATATGATCTAGGGTTTGAATTTGAGAGAATTGATTGTAAATTTCAGTTTCTTGATCTTTTCTTTGTTGACCTAACTTAAATTCTCTGCAATTTTCAAATCGTTGACTTGTGACTTTTTAATTATTATATAAATTTTTTGTTTTTTTTTCCTAATTCTTTTAAAATTTTTCCCCTTATGCTAGTTTGTTCTGTTGTTTCGTGGGGAGGAACTTTCTAGTTAGGTTGATTTATAATGATTTGGAGAGCATATTGCGGAAAGAAGCGTTGTCAAGTTGGAATTGGGGTATGTAGTTTTATTCATCTACAAAGGAACTATGGAAGGTGACCGAACAATTTCCACTCCTTCAGCTGGGCTCAGCATCCGCGATGGTGCTCAGAGAATGCGAGCTCTTCATGGGTATCTACTTTTAAAAGCATAGTGATTGTTACTTTTAGTACTTCTTATTTGAAAAATTAAATACCATTATTGGTTTTCTTGGCTACTCTTGCTCTCCCTTTACAATGTTTTCTTTTTTCTCTTATGTTCTCTTACAAGAAATTGGGTTTCTCTGACTTTACAATCCTTCTATAGGAGGACTACTGGTCCCACAAGACGATCTACGAAAGGACAATGGACAGCTGAAGAGGTACCTAGCTTATGGTTGCTCTCTTGTGCTTTAAGACATTGCTTTTCTTTCTATAACTTTATTGCTCTTGTTGTGTCACGTATTATTGTGTCCAGTAATTTTAGTCCTATCCTTTAATACAATTATTTTTGTGTTCATAGATACTTTTGTTGCGTGTGTGTTTTGTATGTCTGTTTCAATATATGCATATATGTATGTATATGCACATTCTTAAAAGATTTTTCAATCTGACAATGGGCTTCCAGGATGAGATTCTGTGCAAAGCTGTTCAACGTTTCAAAGGAAAAAATTGGAAAAAGATAGGTATGACTTTTTAACTGAAGTAGCGTAATAGCTCCACATGCATCATTTCACATGATCTAATTGTAAAGCTGAGCTGTTCATCTGCAGCGGAGTATTTCAAAGATCGAACTGATGTACAATGCTTGCATAGGTGGCAAAAGGTCTTGAATCCGGAACTTGTTAAAGGGCCATGGTCAAAAGAGGTGAATGTTTTTGCTACTTATTTCTTTCTCACAATCCCTTGAATTTGATTGTTCTTGACAAAACTGACAGCTTTTTCTTGATAATTAGTATGGTATTCTGAGTTGCTTTTCTGAAATTTAAACAGGAGGATGAGCTAATAATTGAGTTGGTGAAGAAATTTGGGCCGAAAAAGTGGTCAACCATTGCTCAGCACTTACCTGGCCGTATTGGAAAGCAATGCAGAGAAAGGTGTGATGATAGAGCTGCTAATTAAAATATTTTAACCTAACTTAATTTGAAACTTTTTAAAAGGCCAAGGAGAGGAGGGGGATTTTGAATCTTGGAATGTGACCTTTCTTGGGACGGCTAAAGACAAGCCTGGTCACATTGCTTAATTCTGTTGAATTTTAACAGTTTGTGAGAGGTTTTCCTTCGGGATGTTATTGTAAACATCTTCTCTTGGATTTTATGAAAGTATTTTGCTGTTGTAATGCTCCCTTTTTCAGCCAAAATATAAGGAAAAAAAAATCGTTCCTGTCGTACTTTTGTGCTCATACAACTAAGTATTGATGCAGGTGGCATAATCATCTCAATCCTGCGATAAACAAAGAGGCCTGGACTCAGGAAGAAGAGCTGGCTCTGATTCGTGCTCATCAGATTTTTGGGAACAGATGGGCAGAGCTCACAAAGTTCTTGCCAGGAAGGTATGCCAACTTATAATTTAGATAGGCCACACCTTTCCATCAATGTTTTGTTGAGTTTACATATATTATGTAGTCTCTTATCCTTTTTACTTCCTCCTATGACTGCAAGTCACCCGCTGAAATTTGTCTAAACTCTAATGTTCTGTTAATTAGAAGCTAATATGTCTTTTGCATTTTGACTTATGGATAGCTTGCTTTATTTCCTTTTTTCTATGGGTAACAGGACAGACAATGCAATAAAAAATCACTGGAACAGTTCGGTGAAAAAGAAATTGGACTCTTACATAGCATCAGGCCTTCTAGAAAAATTTCAGTTCCCACTTATTGCAAACCAATGCCAGCCTATGCCTTCATCTTCTTCGAGGATGCAGAGCAATTTGGATAATAGTGGTGCCAAATGTAGGACAGAAGCAGAGGATATATCAGAATGCAGCCAAGAATCGACGATGATTGGCTGCTCTCAGTCTGCAAGTGATTTGGCTAATGCTTCTGTTCATACAAGAGAGAAATTCCACTTGACTGAAATGCCTGGTGCAGCAAAGGAGAAGAATTCCAGTCCAGCACCCTGTTCGGAGGAGTATTACCCACCTTTGGAAGATGTCAACTTTTGCATTCCAGAAATACCTTGTGAAGCAGGGTACTCTGCGAGTGGGGATTACCAGTTTGGTTTACCTGATGTTTCTTCTCTGGAAATGGGGCAGGAATCATCAGGGTTACCAACTAACCATACAGACACTAGAGAAACCCATGAAATGATGAATGCTGCATTTCAAACTTCTGTAGGGTTAAATGCTCCTACATCTTTCCTTAATATGACTACAACTTGTGAAAAACCAGAGCATATGTTTATAACTGATGATGAATGTTGTAGGGTCCTATTCTCTGAGGCAATGAATGATGGATGCTTTGCCTCTGAAAATTTTACACAAGGATCTAATATGGTTGAATTGGGTGGTTGCAAAAATACATCTCTTTGTCAGGCTTCAGATGTCCAAATATCTGAAACTGGAAGAACTCCAGCCACACAATCTAATTATCATTCAAGGTCTGAATTATTGCCAACCTCATGCTGTCAATCTTTTGGGTTTCCGTCACTTCTTTCAGTTAAGGATGGTACACTTATGTATGACAGAGAGTCCAGTCAGTTAAATGGTCAACCTTTTGGAACTCAAGAGCAAGAATTTACTATGAATGCACTTGATGTCTTTATCTATACTAATGATGATCATACAGGCCTGCAAGAGCAATCATACCTTGCCAAGGATTCTCTAAAGTTGGTTCCGGTGAATAGTTTTGGTTCAGAATCAAATTCAATGCAAGCTTGTCCTACTGTGGACGATAAGCCAAATTTGCCTTCAGGACAAGATGTTGGAGGTCTATGTTATGAGCCTCCTCGATTTCCAAGCTTGGATATTCCATTTTTCAGCTGTGATCTTATACCGTCTGGCAGTGATATGCAGCAAGAATATAGTCCCCTAGGTATTCGCCAGCTGATGATGTCTTCTATGAACTGCATCACTCCATTTAGGTTGTGGGATTCACCATCTCGGGATGATAGTCCTGATGCCATGCTGAAAAGTGCTGCCAAAACTTTTACTGGTACACCATCCATATTGAAGAAACGCCATCGTGACCTATTATCACCTATATCAGAAAGAAGAAGTGACAAAAAGCTGGAAACTGACATGACAGCCAGTTTGACCAAAGATTTCTCTCGTTTGGATGTTATGTTTGATGAGAGTGGGACTGGCAACATATCTCAGGTGTCTTCATCTGAACATAGAACCATTTCTGGTGCCTCTTTTGAAGAAAAAGAAAACCTGTGTCAAGCATTTGACGGGAAACAAGACAATGGGGGAGATCACACTGAACCATTAGATGATGAAGCTCAGAAGAAAGATTCTAATGGAAATAATTCCCAAGGAGACATAAAAAAAGAAGCCTGCAATATTGATACCAAGAACAAAACTGATGATGATTTTTATGATAAAATTGTAAGTTTTTATTTTGTATTTATCATTTTGATGTTAGTTTTCTAGCTTAAGGTGCAGCTGTCTGATTAGATCACTGTCAATTTTTTTGTTTAACTCAGATTTGATGCTGATAGTTCTATGTCCACCTTACACTGTTTTCTCTTGTGTTCTTATGTTGGAAACTTTGATCTTAATTCTTTTTTCTTTATTACTGTTATATTCTTTTTTGCATCTAATGAATTGTTTTATCATGTACTAATCTTTTCCTCTCTACTTTTGACAGGTCCAACGGCCTTCGGCTGTGCTTGTTGAGCATAACATAAATAATATACTATTGTTTTCTCCTGATCAAGTTGGTATTAAAGCAGACAGACCATTATTGGCTTCAAGCATGCGAACTCCCAGAAATCAGTATCATAAAAGCTTTGGAGCTATATCAAATCAGGGTTTTGCTTCTGAATGTTTATCGGGAAATGCATGCATGGTTGTTAGCTCTCCTACTCTGCAAATAAAGAACTCTGAAGGTCACTCAATTGCTGTTACTGCAGTACAATCTACCAATTCATCAGCAACCCTAGAGAATTTGGTTGATAATGCTGGGATTGATGCTGCTATTGAAAATTATAATATGTAAGATGCCCTATTGTCATTATATTGCTATTTATGTGGAGAGCTGCTTTTCTTTTATTTCTACTTCAAATGCTAGGATGAATTGATTGCTTGCTTGATATGAATTGCCAGATTTGGTGAAACTCCTTTCAAAAGAAGTATCGAATCCCCATCAGCATGGAAGTCTCCATGGTTTATCAACTCTTTTGTTCCAGGCCCAAGGGTTGACACAGAAATAACAATTGAGGTATAACAACTTCAGGTAGATTTTACAATTATTTTTTTCTTTATGTTTCCTAATGATTGAAATTTCTTTCCAGGACATAGGATATCTTATGAGCCCTGCAGATAGAAGTTATGATGCCATCGGGTTGATGAAGCAATTAAGTGAGCATACTGCAGCTGCATATGCTGATGCCTTGGAGGTTTTGGGGAATGAAACTCCGGAATCAATTGTAAAAGGAAGACGGTCCTCCAACAATCCTAACTTGGACAAAGAGAATAATCAGTTGGAGGCAGTCCCCATTCAGATTTGGCGTCAAATATCATGGTATTACTGAAAAACCTTGCTTAACATCCTCTTCCTTTGTTATTACAGAGCATTACTTAAAAGTTATATGCAATTTTTTTGCAGGCAGAGCGCCGTATCCTTGATTTTAGTGAATGTGAAACACCTGGAACGGGAACTGAAAATGGGAAGTCCTCAACAGCCGTGAGATTCTCTAGCCCCTCTTCCTATCTTTTGAAAGGTTGCAGATAATGTTTGCTTCTGCCTAAAATGCCTCCCATGTCACTACTGTATTTGTATTTTACATCATATATACATATATATATATATATGTACGCCATCTTTTGTTTTTCTTTTCAAAATTCTTCAATTTGTTGTCGAAAGAGAATGGATCTAATTAATTAATTGATAAAAGATTGTTCAGATGCATTAAGATTCTCCCGCTCTTCTCACCTCTTTCTCTTCCCGTCCTGGTCTTGGTGTTAATACATGAGCTTCTTCCTGGAAAACCTACTAGGTTGACACTTGATAATACTGACATTAACGAAAATTGAGTTTCCTTCGCTACAAGGGTGATCACTATAAACCTTAAACTAATCAAACGGAGAAAAAGGGAAGCAAAAAAAAAAAAAAGAAAAAAAGTATTAATGATCTGAAGCTTCTGCCCCCATGAAAGTGTACGGGATTGGAGCAGGCCCGACGCACAGGCCCTTTCTTGGCAGCTAGATCTTGTAAAAGCACTTTCATGATCTTGGGAAATTTTAGTTCTGCAAGATGAACAGTTTTGTTTTTCACCAGCTGTGCTCCAAGCATCAGCATCATGGTCGACAGAAAATGCTATGGCTGAAAAAAATAGCATGACATCTTAATTCTTGAAGCAACTCAGAAAACAAAAAGGGGTAAAAAATGCTAGAGCACTCGGCTTCTCATATGTTTAATAGAACTAATCTAAAAAAAATACGGCTCATTTATTTCAAAAATTTCACGTCCACTGAAAAATCAGGGACGGTCGATGATAATTTCAAGCCTAAAAGGACAGGTTTCTACCTTTCAATTAGAAGTTGTCCACAGTTAAGAATCAAATTTTGAGATGAATTCATGAAAATATATAAACACAGACAGACTTTAAGGACAATTTCGGAGCACAATGGTCAAAACCCAGTTGCAGTTCAGTTGAAATGATCTTATAACCAGGTTGGACTTCTCAGTTTCTGACTTGCTAGTATGCCTCGTAACCTAAAAACACAATACAGTAATACATAAAAAAATATACAAATGAAATATACAAAAATAATATAATTTAAAATTATAACGAAAATTATAAATAAATTTAATAAAATAAAATTTTTTTTATATTTTTATATTCATACAAACTAAAACATATAATTTTTATATAAAATAAGATAAACATATATAAATTATTAATATTTTATACGAATATGCTAATTACCTGCTTGCTAGCATCGCGTCCGACAGAGCACGGCAAAGTAGTCCGAAGCAGTGAATGAACTCAAAACTTTTGACTTTGAGCACAGAACTGTACAGCATTGGAGTAACAATCCATCGACTAAAACAAGTAGTTAAGAATCAAGCTTTGTGTTAGATTCCCTGTACGTAAAACTTCACATCTGCTGCAAATTTGTGTGGTGTTATTGAGAATGCCAGAGTCAGTTCCCACCAGAAAGGATCTGGTAAAATCGGGTATGTCTAAATGCCGGTTCTGGGTTATTTTCTCAATGCCAACAGTCCACAGACTTGTTGCTAAAAAGCAATAGCAATGACCTGCAAAACAAAATGGTCCAAAAAAATCAGCTTATTTTTAAGAGAAAAAAAAATACCCTCTGGCTTCCATTTTTGGACTTGATAATCTAAAATATAATATGGATATAATAAAAAAAAATAAATTAAAAAATAATATGATTTAAAATTTTAATAATAATTATATATAATATAAATTTAATAAAATTAAAAAATATTTTTTTATATTTTTATATTGATATAAATTATAACATATAATTTTTATATAAAATATAATAAAAATATATAAATTTTAATATTTTACACGATAAAAATACAGGAATTATTATGTTTAATTTTTTTTTGCTTACTAGTTTCCCAACACAACAAAAATAATTTTTTTTATATCAGTTTTCTACAAAAACAAGCAGTACAGTGTTCGATTGATATGAAATCACAGGGCAGTGAAAAGATGGGATTACCTGTGGGACTAAAATCATGAGAGCAATAAACTGACACATCTTCTCAGGGGAGATAAAAAAAAACTCTTGAAATCTTCTTGGCTATAATCAATGTATTTAGATATTAGCTGTCATAGAGGAAAGATGAAGAAATTAAGATGGGATCTACAGAAACTACAACTAAGCTAGAAGAATGGTTGACTATCTGAGAGAGCTTTTTGTATATATATAGCAACTCTTAGCAAGAATGACTTCAAAGATATCATCAAGCCACCATGACATTAACCTTAAAAACAACTTTCAGAAAATGTCGAAAAAGTTTGCAGAATGTGGAAATGTTGATTGAGATTAAGCTGAATGATTGTTAATTTATGAAGCTATTTTCAAACAGAGATATCAAAAGGATGCACCATGGAAGTTAATATGGGTGTTGAGAGAGCATACCGAACACCAGTCATACTTGAAGAAAATTGTGACAATCACAACAACTTCAAGAGAAAGAAGGGAGCAGACGCTGAAAATGTACTAAAATCTTGGTTGAGGAATACCATGGCCACCCACTAAATGGAAAATTGCACATAAACAAATACTAATTGATTTAGAACTCTGTTATTTCCTTGGAAGTTAACTATTCTGAAAATGATTGCCTATAAACCTGAAATAAACCTTCAGAATCCAATCTTTTTTCTTCCCTATTGATGATGGCAAAGTAATAAATGAAAGTTTCAAGCATCTCGCAAAGAATACTATGCAGAGGATAGAGTTGCTTATACAATTAGAGACAATATAACTGAATAGTGTGCTCAAGCAGACAGCAATTCCCACAACTAAACATGCATATATAAACCTGTTAAACAGAGGCAACGATGTTTACTCAGAAGATTGTTGAAAATCAAACAAAAGAGAAACTTTTCGAAACAAGAGACCTGAATGGCTTCATAATCGAAAACCGATATATATAGTCTTACAGATATTAAAGAACCATTACGAGTTTGTAAATTTGGTCTTAAAGATAGCGAAGTTCTTGAGGCCATGAATTCGATATGTTTTGAACTAAAAGAAGCGAGCTGATGTTCAAAGTCACAGGAGATAGTTAAAGTCACTGTCATGTTTCACTGTTTAAAGGGTTAAAAGACATAAATATATTTAAATAATTCATAGTATATAGTATCATTTCAATATACTCCAAAAATAAGGGTAGATGAAACCATGTTTCAACTGTGATTTATTACAATAATTAAGGAGACAGAGAAAGAGTTTACCATGGTTTGGGAAGAGATGAATAAGAAGGCAGTTCAGCAGAACCGTCATTCCACTTCTTTTGGAGAGTAGACAATAATTGCAATCCCCAGAAAATTCATAATGACGTTTACTATCTTCATTGCATTGCGCAACAGCTGCCGCACCTTGGCATGGCTGGCAGTGGCAGCTGCTGTTTCTTTTGCCGTAGTTCGACTTAGAGTATAGTTATCGAAATCGCTGTTGGTATGCACAGATGGACTTGCCTTTCAGTCTCAGACACCACTGAACGGAGCACATATGCATCATTGTGGTGGTGGCCAACGCGTGATTAGGCGAGCTAGAGATGAAGAGCATGTGCATGAGAGAAAAAAAAGGAACAATTGCTCTCCTGGCAATGTGGCATTGACACGTGTTTGGTTGGGAGAGAGCGAGTGACGATCGACTCAGAGTTAGAGAGAGGAAGATAGATGGATGGAGGAAATGGTGTTTTAATGTCTATCTTGGAAGGTTAGATGGTTTGGTAACAAAGATTGTAGCATCATCAAGAATTGAAGCAAAGGCTGGCGGGATGCATCTGCCCTTCAAACGTGGGTCTCCTTCGAAAAATGGAGACTAAAATACCAAAGTCTGTCTGTACGAAGTCCTGTATTGCTTTAGGTCTGAATAATTAGCCCTTCAGTGAAAAGACATTGTCAAGGCAAACTAGTTTGAATTCCTTTGTCAATATCCAAGATTTTTACAGTAAAAAAAATTGAAGTAAACAGCTGCTTTTGCTGAGACAGCTTTGAAAGGAGGCAGGGAAACACAAATTTCCCGAATGAACAATGCAAGTTTCATTTCCTCATCTCCTGCCCTTGCCAATGGTTGTCTGACCCAAATCGGAAAAGGAGTCGCCTTCCTGCAATTTTTGAATGTTTTCCTGTAAATGGAACTTGATGGAGTGAGCAAGGTACTCAAGCGCCATTCATTTTGCATGGTTGAAAGTTCCATTGATTGATTACTCGGAAGAATAGTACATTATCACAAGAAAAATTTTCTGGCATGCCATCAAGGGCATAACTGGGATAAACCTCTTTGACGCTCTTAAGGCACTCTTGTAATGGAGCTATTTATACAGCAGGTAATTAAGCACATCTGAAGCTAACCACATTCCACTAATTTGAAAAAAGGAAAAGGCATCAAAATCTCTCCCAAATGTAAAAGTAAAACCATCAAGTAAAATCCGTGAACTCCATGCAAGATAAATAGGCAACCTAGTCCAGCTTTATCCGATCCATATCATTTATCACACCTTCAAGCTGTAATAAAAGGTAAAAAAAGATTACTTATGCAGTAAGTAGAATACCCCAATATGCTTGGCCATTCATGCATATGACAAGAATAGTACCATACCTTGACAATCTGTCGCAAGAAGTAATCACCATACCGTTTCACTGGCTTGGATTCAACAACATGAATCATGTCCTGCAGCAGAGTAACTTGAAATGCTGAAGAATAGAGACAGTCCTTCAAACTAATATCCAAAGACCAAATAATTCGGACCAAATATAATATACTGAAAACAATCTTTTGACACAACTTTAAGTCTTAATTTACGTAACCTAGCCTGAGGTTAGTCCAAAGTTGCTTGTGTATGCCATCTGTATCTGCAGCTATAAAGTTGTAGAGAACACATGGTAACTTAAAGCACATTTTCTCAGCAGCACATAGATACTTGCATAGGCTAAAAGTTTTACGTACATCATCAATGTAGAAGTCCACATCAGCATTAGAGATAACCTTTCCTTCAGAATCAACAGCATGAGTTTTGTGCTTATATGTCAACAGGATAGTCCTATAAAACATGATACATGATGGTTAGTACATCATGTACAACAATACATGAAGGTTAGTACATCATGTACAACAAACTAAGCAAGCATAAACTTAGATCAAATACAAAGGAACAAGCAGAAGAAAAAGGGAATGTCCACCTCAGAGTGGGGTCATCAACTTCCATGTAATTTGCAAGCTTCCCAAGAGATATGGTTGAATACACTTTAAGAAATGTCCGGACACCTGATAACAACTGCTGCTGCTTCACTTCGTAAAGAAACAGCTTCAACTGAAGTCTGTAGGCATCCTGCAGGTTAAAATAAATGGCAGTAGGTAAAATTCACATAACACAAACAAAACACAAACAAAAAGAAAGACCAAGCTTAAATAACATGCCAAATGACTTTTTACTTCCCTCCCTCAATAATAAATAAGTACATAGACTTAAGATCTACACTATCTCAGTATCTCTCCCACCCCATTACCACATAAGCATTTTCTAGGGGCTAGATCTCCATCCAAAAAGGTATAACAATTGCTGGAACAGACAGATTGTGTAAAATTAACCCTAATGAACCAATATAACATGTTCTATGCTCTACATCCACTTGTGAATCTAACAGGACAAAATTGTAGATACGTTATTTTTGTACAAAAACTTGGGGGTGTACAACCTCTCAGTTAAAAGAATTAATGCACAACCTACAGCCTGATAGCTTATTGTTTCAGTGGACCACTATTAGCAGTGAAAAAAATATGAAAGAGCCTAACTATAGCAAGTATATGGTGACATAAACACGTATGCTGAAAAACTGAAAGGACTGTGGATGTAAATAAAGGAAGGAACAAGCATAAATGATTTAATTAATATACTTCACATCAAAATCATTCTCAAGATTGCCTAAGAAAAAAAAAAAAACCATATACCTGGTTGTAATTTACAAGGGGCTCCTCAAAGCTTGGAGCTGAAGGTGTAATAAACTTGGGACATGCATATGAGAAGAGCTCATCATAGATGGCAAAAGCTTCATCATCATATCTTTGCATCCTAGCCATCTTTTCACCATACTTCTCCCGCAACTGAGAGTTCACAGTCTCCTCAACAAGTTTCACTTGGGGGCAAAGTGAAAGACAAATTGCGAGCAAGGCATACATCTGTTCATTCTTTTTCAGTATCTGTTCATACTGTGGAGATTTCTGATGATATTGCTTTGTCTTGTAAATATACAAGAGCATCTTATTGAATTCACGAATAGCATCTACATACCTTCAATAACACGTATTATTATCAAGCTAAGCAAAAAAAGGATGCAAGAATTAAAATTGAATAAAACTTTAGTGAAGGCAGAAAGAATTCGCATAACTATATGTCAAGAGCTCATTATGTTGTAAACATAGCAAATCGTAAACATACCTCCGCAACATAAGATTGGCAAACCCATAATGATATATGGTTGTAATGTGACTTCCTATAACACTGGTGTAAACACCTTGTTGACTAATGTCAATTGGAAGCAAGCACTTCAGCCCGGTTTGGTAATCACCCAAAAGACAATGAACTCGCAACAAACCCACCATACTGAAATACCCCAACACCTTCAACACATTGCTTCCACCACTGTAATCATACCCATCAGTAGCAGTAAATTGTTCAAGACCCTCCTTCTCTTGCTCTAATATCTGAATAATATTCGACTTCTCCACAAAAGCTTGCAAGTAGTTAAGCACCCCATACACATTCCATGCCTACAAGAGCAAAAGAGTAACTTCAAATCCCCACAACAACTACAACAACAAACAATGACAATAACTACTATGCAAATTACTTGATCATATTGGCGGAGAAGTGCGATTTCTTGTTCAGTTTTGTTCTTCATTTTAGCCCTGTATTGACAGAAACTTTGGAATTGGTATACGAACTCATCCACCATGTCCCATAACCATTGATTTGGTAACTGCATGTTAACTACACTATGCAAAACCACCTAAACAAAAACTAAAGCCCAATCAAATCAATCCACGTCACAGAATCATACACATTGATGCAAATTAAAAATCATTACCTGAAAGAGGCTACAATAATTATCCCACGAGTCAATCCTCTGCTTGAGAGTGGGCGAAAGGCGAGCATAGATGTGACGAAACCACATCTCACGGTAAAGGAGGCAAAATACTTGGTCGTTGTCGACGAAGTGCGCAACGGCGTCGACGGAGGGCCAAGGAGTGTCTTTGAAGAGACGGTCCGAGAGAGTTTGGAATGAGATCTCGTACATCTGGTGAATCTCGTACACATTTTTCTCACGAATATGACGATATAGATGGACGACGAGCGACTTAACGGAGTCGGGTACGAAGTTTGGGTCGTACCCCAGGTCTTGGCGGTGAGCTTCATCGTAGGTGGCTGGAGCCTCCTCATAATCGTAGTTGGTTGCCATCTTTGCAGAGATTTAGGAGTACGTACCGTCGACTGTGAACGATAGCGAAGCAAAAGGAGTTAGGGTTTAGTGAGGAAAAAGACCATGGTGCGAGCGAATTTGGGCTTTCTGTTTTATAGGCCCAATCTTAGTCAAAACCAATTAGCCAGACAGTTGTTGGGCTAAATTCTTTGTCCCCTTCCGTTCTACACGTTGGGCATTGGCGCACAATGACAAGCTTTAAAAGTATGGTTGTAATTGATTGAATTTGAGTTGATACAATATTAAATTTAAATTTGAATTTAAACTCGATTTTAAATTTGATACTCAAAAATTAGTTCGAATTTTATTTTTTTAGCTCGAACTTGACTCGATATAAAAATCAAGCTACTTAAATTTACTCGATTAAGCTCGATTAACATATAAAAATAAGCTTAATTCTTATATTCAACAAAAACTTAATTATTTATACTCGAACTTAAGTTCGAGATATTTTATCAATTAAAATAATTAAAATATAAAAGCTTGATTAGGCTCGCGAATAACTTGAAACGGATATAAAAATACTCGAACTTGGTTCGATCAATAAGTTAAACTATTCAAGTTTGAGTTTGACTCGATAATAACTGAACTAAATTCGAGTTTATTCGAATCGAACTTGAACAGTTTATATGTACTAATGTATCATTTATAACTTACTTGAAAGTAAATGTTATAACGGTTTGAAAAAAAGCGGATTTAATTTAATTTTTTATAATATATTAAAGTTATAAAATTTTAAAATTCAAGTTAAATTTTAATAGATTTTTTAAAAATCAATTTAATTTAAATTGAATTCTATTAGGTTTAGTTTATTAATTTTTAAATTTAAATTTTTTTATTTTAATCTATTATTTTAATAAAATTTTTAATATATTTAAATAAATATATATAATAATTATTTTTATTTTATAAATATTTAAAAATATTTAAAAATAAATAAATATATAATTTAATTTTTATTAATTTTTTACGTCTGATACAAACTTAATATATATATATATATTTAATATCAAATCTTCGTTCAAATAAAATAAAATAAAATCCATCCAAATCAACTATTTCATATTTTTTTTAATTTCACGATTGTTTTGTCAGCCTTACCTAGTTTTTCACACCAACATGATCAGAGTTGCGAAATGACATGCACAGCAGCACTAAAAGCAACTGAGATTCACACCAACAAATCATGACAATCATCTGAACAACTTCAAGATGGTTTCTGCCATTACTGAATTTTTGAAGAGTTTTGATGACCCAGTTGGCAAGTACACAAGCTCTATAAGAAAGTGTAGTTGAAGTGTATATGGCTCTTTGATGACTAGGGCTCGAAACTCTATCGTGGTCAATAACCTTGGTTTGTCCCCACGCGCCATTAAAGAGTGTAGTTGTTGTACGTCATTTCCAGCGGACAACCTCGGGCGGCACAGTTTTGTCCTTTTGATCTGGGCTTCTCTCTCCTTGGGAATTAGAATCCAAGCCACTTGAACTAGAGTCAACTACTTGCTTAGCCTGTAAAAGAAACGCACATCTTCAGTCACTCAAACAACGGAATATATAGCTTCCATGGCTTCTCTGTCAGCTTCTCCCCCAAAATGCATGCTCCATATTCCCACAACACATGACTATCTCTTGCATGATTTATGTCTTGTTCCAAGAAATCTTTCACTTATGAAACAAGGGTCTCTCAGAGAATTGAGATTCGTTAGAAGTTCTAATCAAACTGAACCTTTGATTGGTTAGTATCTTTTTCATTTTGGTAAATTGTTTCTGTTCATATCATATATCATTTTCTCACGATTTTAGTATAAATTCTGTATTCGTTTTGTCCATAAAGATTGGTGGGTAATTTTCTATTGGGGTATGATTATTTTGTTTTCTGCCAGATTCTACTGATAAACTATCAGACATTCCTCTCCTGTCTTGCTCAGAGGTTTGTGTTCTCTATCACCTTGTTCTTCTTACATGATGAGTTTCATAAGACTAAATTCCACAAAGCAAATTAAGAAATTTTGGAATAAAATTTGATGTTACATTGAATAAAGTTGACATCTGTCTCATAGCTTTTATGGCGATTATTTACTTTTTCATCAATGACCAAAGGCTTAGACTTTCTGGCATCTTGAATCTTGATTGCACATATATAACAGATCTGTGTTTTTATACATTTGTTTTACTTTGGACATCATTGATTTTTTTTTTCCTTTTTTCCTAAATTTTTGGTTTGCTAAGGCTATGGAAAGGCTAAAACAGAAGAGAGAAAACCAAAAAGGAAAGCAGCAATTCCTGGCTATGTACTCTAGCATTTTTGGTGGAATAGTGACTGATGCTGGAGCTATGGTGATCCCTATGGATGACCACATGGTTCATAGAGGGCATGGTGTCTTTGATACTGCTGCAATAATGAACGGGTTAGTGAATCTGTCAGCAGAACAATAACTTTTTTTGTCGTAATTTTGTAATGTTATTATTCTTAAATTATGGTGTTAATAATCATTATATTTTGATGTTAACATCTTTTAAGATGCAACATTGTTCTACATCACTATGAAAGTTCAGTATTAAGGTTGACATTTCCATCGCATTTTGAGAACTACAGGATAAATTCTTTCATGCTGTTGTTACTTTCAAGTTCAAAGCAGTAAATGAGCTTTGAAACAACTTCTTAAGTTCTGTCTATAAGTTATATTCTGAGAACAATAAAACTATCCTTAAGAATGTAATAATCTTTTCAAACTAGTTTGATTGATTGGCAGATTACTAATGAAAATATGAATTGTTAGAATGAATAAGTCATTGCAATACCGTGTCATTTGTTTGTCTTTCCTCAATATATATTCACATGTTAATTAGTAATTATCAAGCTCCGTTATGTGTTTCCACATCTCAGTTACCTCTATGAATTAGAGCAGCATATTGCCCGCATTATAAGGTCAGCATCAATGGCAAAAATTGTTCTTCCATATGATCATGAGACTATAAGAAGAATTCTTGTACAAACTGTAAGTGCTTCTAAGTGTACAAAAGGATCACTGAGATACTGGATTTCGGCTGGACCAGGTGACTTTCAACTATCACCTTCTGGCTGTCACCAACCAGCTCTCTATGCCATTGTGATTGAAGATCAATCTTTGTTTGATTCAAGAGGCGTCAAAGTAGTTACGTCATCAGTCCCCATAAAACATCCCCTGTTTGCCACCATGAAGAGTGTAAATTACCTTCCAAATGTGCTTTCAAAGATGGAAGCTGAAGAAAAAGGTGCATATGCAGCAATTTGGCTTGATGAAGATGGATTTGTTGCTGAAGGGCCTAATATGAATGTGGCATTTGTTACAAAGGAAAAGGAGCTTCTGATGCCCAGCTTTGACAAAATTTTGAGTGGTTGCACAGCTAAGAGAGTTTTGACTCTTGCAGAGGGACTGGTGAGAGATGGGAAGCTTCATGGAATAAGAGTGGATAACGTGAGTGTTGAGGAAGGGAAAAGAGCAGATGAAATGATGCTTATCGGCAGTGGAGTCCTTGTTCGCCCTGTAGTGCAGTGGGATGAACAGGTCATCGGCAATGGTAAGAAGTTTCCTTTTTGACATAAGGTGCATCCTTGAATAACTAGTTTGTTGCATTGAAATGTGCTTGGATTCCACCTAGCTCACATTTTAGTTGACTGACACTTGACTTACATCATCTCCTCCTGATGGATTAAGTGCTTGCTTCCTCTGGAATTACAGTATGTCATCAAAGTGCCTTAAAATATTTGATACTGGAGCATTTCTTCCTTCTCACGTTTCCTTCTAAGTCGTAGCGAGGGAAAGTCCTTTCCTATTTATTCCACAGTTTGTTCCAGCTGATGCACCACTCTTGTTCTTAAAAGAGATCTTAAATACATTAGCGGACATATTTTAACACCTTCCAAATCCATTTTTTTCAACTAGAATCTTCCAAAATATTGTTGTTTGATATGATCTTTTATTTTCAAGTCTTTAGTTGATAATTTCTTTTATGTGTTTCTCTGTAGGCGAAGAAGGTCCTATAACCCTGACTCTCTTGAATTTTATCCTAGAGGACATGAAATCTGGTCCCTCTTCCGTCCGAGTACCTGTTCCTTATTGAAGCAAGCTTGATCCAGTATCTTGGTATCAGAAGGTTTGACTTGAATTTGTGAGAGGTTGTTGCCATGAATCTGCTTCTTGCTTGTAGGCTATGCAGATAGACATAACAACTCAGTATTCTATAATGCAAAGCAGTACTGTTTGTAAATTAAACAGTTAGCTACAATAAGCAGTGGACATTTGTCTTCTTTTGCTTGAAAATGTCTGGATTTGTTCTCATTTTCTAATTTTGTGCACCCAAAATTGGAGGTTGCAAAAGCACATGTAATCCAACAGCCATATAAAAACTAATAAGCAGCAAAAATCAGGCCTTAAATCCATCTGCACATTGGCAATGCTCAAAGTTGAATGATCAGCCAAATTGTTGGGACTTGGCTGGCTGTTACTTTGTTAAACAAAATTTGATCTGGTAATGATTGTTGAAACATGAGGAACCTGAAATTTAGGTCTAAAAAAGCAAGTGAAGAATCTAGTCAGGCCTTGGTTATGCTTTAATTGTGACTTATGACCTAAGGCCATTGCCTTGCAAAAAAGTGATATGCCTGCTGTTTTTTGACCAGCCTTTTCAGTGTTATTAAAAAAGGAAAAAAAAAAAAAAAAAGGATATTCGGAAGGCATAAAAATAAAGCAATAGGCAGTGCAAAATTTAGTGGGTGAGATTGTATCAGAATTTTATAATAAAGGCACATTATAAATGAAGAGAATAACTTGTGTGGTTTTGTTTTTTTCTATAACTCATAACTTTGTTGTTTTCTCTTCAAACTTACCTTGCTTGCTTAGGTTCTGTCTCTCTCCATTTGGTCGGGAATTAAATAAATTATACAATTTAAAAAAAAAAAAGTAACTTCAAAAATGCTAAAATTTCTTCTTCTTGAATCTTGACCATGCTGCTAGGCAATTAAACAAACATATATAACACCTGAATTTTTTTAATAAGATTAATGTCATAAATAACCTTTAAACTATCATGAAATATTTTATGTAATATTTAAATTTTAAAAATTTTTAACGTAATACTTGAATTACGAATTTATAACTAATATGATATTCACATTTAATGTAACTAACTCTAAATGATAGTACGTAACAGATAAATAATCATCTAAGTATTACATTAATTAACATATTTACAATTCAAATATTACATTAGATATTTTTAAAATTAAAATATTAAATTAAAATTAAAGGACCATTTGTTATGTTAATTTTTTAAAAAAATTAGTTAATATTTTTACCTTAAATGTAATATTTGATAATTAATTTGATGATTTTTAAATATATTGAGTAAAAATATTATTAAAAAAAACTCATTATTAAAACCATTTTATTATATAAAAATACATTAATTATGATAATTATAGACAATACATAATAAAAACATTATTATAAAATAAACCAAATATTAAGATAAATGAAAAATTACAAAAAAAAAAAAAAGAAAATAATGATTCTCCCTCTACTTGTGACTTTGAAAGTTAAAAAGTCCCCGATCAACCCCACTTTAATGACCTCCTGTCAATATATTTAAGTAATGACGTATCCTTTTCATCCTTTCTCCTTTAAAATTTATGAACATCCAAATGAGTAGAAACTCTTATGAGCTTGACAATGTTGGCAACACCCTTTAAAATTAAATACATCTAATCTTCACCATAAATGCGTTGAGTTTAAACCTTAAAGTAGCTTATTCATTTTCTTTAATGAAACAAAAAAAAAAGGAAGGGATTAATTTTCATTTGGACCTAAACCTTCACCTATTAATAGTAATGGTCGACAATTAAAAAAGTTCATTTTTATATAATAATTTTTTTTAATTTCATAAATAAAATTAAACAAAATTTATTTATTATGTGTTTATTATTAACCTTGTTTGTGAAATTTAAAAATCTACTAACTAATGGTGATATGTACCAATTAAACTATTGGACAAAAAAAATACTACTATTTATGGGTGAGAAAAAATTTGAAAAAATTAAAAATTAATTCAAAATTATAATGTTCGATTTGATTCGAATTGATTTTTTTATTTGATTCAAATCAAATTTCAATATTAAATATATATTTAGTTATGATCAAAATGTAAAAAATTGAAAAAAAATCGAATTAAAATGAATTATATATTTTTATTAAATTTTAATATATTTTTTAAAATTTTATAAAATAAAAAAATTATTTTATATATAAATCTATTTAAATATATTAAAATTTTTATAAAATAATATATAAAAATTAAAAAAATTTAAAATTTTAAACTAAATAAATCGAACCAAATTAATAAAATTTAATTTACATTCATATCAAATTTTAAAATTTATTAATATTATATATTGTTTATAAAAATTAAATTAAATCTGTCTCGATCCTAATATTATTACTTCGGTCCAATTCAACCAAATTGGCTTATTTATATTTTTACCTGAAAATTTTATTTGTGTTTTTAGTAAAAACTTGCAAACAGTCCATGGTCTCAATCTTTAAAAGACGACAAAAAAGAATAAATAAAAAGTTTATAGTCACAACTCATCTGTCTATTCATTGGTCGGTGAAGAATAGATCTGTCCCCACTAGGTGACGTGAAAGTAGTTCCTTTAATTTTCAAAGTTCCTTATGATAGAAACGACACCGTTGCTTCGGTCAGTTCCACTACCATTCATCCGCACAATACGCCGACAACAATAAATGATAAAAAACCGTTTGACGTAAGCGGTCCGCGAAACCATCGGTATCAGGATAGGTTCCTCTAGAGGGACACGTGTGTGCTTTCCTTAATGACACGCTGTCGATTTTGGTTGGTCTTTCCTTTTTTTTCACTGCAACCTCCCAAAAATTTGAGAAAAGTAAAAAAAAAGAAGAGAAAAATTTTTTTTATCTAAACGGAAAATTAAAAAACTATTTGATTTGATCTCATAGAGAGAGAGAAAAGGTGAGAGAAGCGAGGAGGAGAAGAGAGGTAGAGAGCTGCCGATTTTCCACTCTTTGATTTATTTGACAAAGAGGGAGTGTATCGGAGGAGTCTTCGTAATATTCTGTAGTTCGTTGCGATCTGGCCGGACGGTGACCGGAATCGGATTGATCTTTTTTCTTATTGCGTGTGCGAATTGCTTTTTGCGAGCGAAGATGGTGAACTCTATGGTGGAGAGAGCTACGAGCGACTTGCTGATCGGGCCTGATTGGGCTAGAAATATCGAGATCTGCGACATGCTAAATCGTGACCCTGGGTATGCGTCGCACTGGATTCCAATCTCCCCTCTTTTTTTGAGATGATTCTATTGATGATTGTGTCTCAATTTCATTATAAAGAATGGATATGAAGATTGTGAATCCAGTGTTCTTTCTTGTTTCAGAATTCGATTTGCTTTTATTATTATTTTTTTAAATTTTCCTCTAGTTCTGATACTAATTGTAGATTCAAGAGAAATTAAATTGCGACTTTCCTTTTATAGCTGCATAAATTTAAAGAGAGAGACTTGGTCTAGGAAGTTATCAGGATTGATCAGTTTGCTTTGCTTTTACTCTTTGTTCAATATGGCTTTTGTTGATGGATAGAAGATTTAGTTTCATGTAAAGATAGACTGGTGATATAGAGCTCTGCTACTTTTCTCAAAGTTGAAAGATGACAATGTGATAGATGATTTTAGTGGCTGTGACCTTATCACCCTACTGTTTAAATTTTCATTTTTCAAATATTAACTGGATTTTTAGTTACTTTTACATGATCAGCTTAATGGTAATAAAGTTGTATATTAGTGTTTTTGTTTATTATTTTTGGTCATTTTCTCTGGTTGCTTTTTAGTTAATTTGAGTTAGTGTGAAAGCAAAAGGGGCCCAAATGGTTTAGTTTTCTCATTTTCTGGTTAATATTGGCTTTTCTTTTCCAATTTTCACCCTCAAGAAGGAGGAAGGCTGGAAGCTGGCCGGATTTATATATTTTAAGTTCGAATGTTTCGTGCTTTTCTAAATCGAGTATTGAAATATGATTGTTATTATCAGGCAAGCAAAAGATGTTGTGAAAGGGATAAAAAAGCGGCTCGGAAGTAAAAATCCTAAAGTTCAACTTCTTGCACTAACTGTAAGCTCCTGAGAAATTTTACTTTGATTTATACTAATCCATGGATATAATTATCACTTCTGTTGCCTTTTTTATCACCTTTTTCTTTCATAGAACTAAACTTGATTAAATTTTGATCTATTTCCTATGTTCCAGCTATTAGAGACTATCATAAAAAACTGCGGGGACATTGTTCATATGCATGTTGCAGAAAGAGACGTTCTCCATGAGATGGTCAAAATAGTCAAGAAAAGGGTAAGTAGTAATTGTAAGCCCCTGTGTTTGCATTTATTTTCTTCTAGGTAAACTTGTTCTCAGTTTTTGTACTGTTCAATTGTAGCCTGATTTTCAAGTGAAAGAGAAGATATTGTCTCTAATTGACACTTGGCAAGAAGCTTTTGGAGGAGCAAGGGCAAGATATCCACAATATTATGTTGCATACCAAGAGTTGTTGGTATGTCTGCTGAGGCCTCTCATCTTAAACTGTATGAGACATGCTGCATTTATTGGGATCCATTTTTCTCTTATGCTATATTTTATTAATGACAATGTCATTGTATTCAAAACATGCTGTTATACTTTTACATAATTTGACCTTCTCCCTCTTTTTTTCTCTGATCCAAACTGGTTGTTTATTTCAGCGTGCTGGGGCAGTATTCCCCCCAAGAAATGAGAGGTCTGCACCTGTATTTACTCCTCCTCAAACACAACCTTTGTCATCTTATCCCCAAAATATTCACAATTCTGATAGGCAAGAGACTGCTGAGTCTTCTGCAGAGTCTGAGTTCCCAACCCTGAGGTATTTTGTTGTTTCTCAGTTGTTTGAAGAGTAAAAGCATGGTGATTTTTTGTGTTTTTCCATTATTCCTATTCAGTCCTAAGATGGCCTTTTTTTTTTTGAACTATCCTTGCAGAATGTTGTCTTTGTAGAAAATGTGCTGCAGTAATGGTTAAGCAAAAGTCTGCTGCACATAATAAATTCTATTGTCATTATCTAATAAATAAATTTAAAGGCTTATTGAAATATGTTTTTAATATGGGTTTTGCAGCGAGGTTCAATTGTTTGATGAGGATAGTATTCCATTATATTCAGTGCATATGGCTAATTTAATATATTTTATGTATTAAATTGGAGTAATTGCCAAAACAAACCTTTTATTCTCTTCTTAATGTACTCAGAGAGATCAAAGTGAGTTATTGGGTGAAAAAGTTCCTACTTGTTTTAACTTCTCAGAATGGTTAGCAGTGCTTCCTGTCCTTACTAGTAAACATGCTGTGGTGTTCTCACACCAGCGATTACCCTTTATCCCTCAAAGTAGAGCAGTAGGTACTTTCCACAGACTAGGGCAGTTATAATAGTTGAAAAAATGTGGACTACATATTCTGTCAAATTGTTGATAGTGACATTACATTGCTAATTCACTGTTTTCTGCTTGCTATTTTATCATTGATAAAGCATCTAGTCTTTTAACTGGAGTTTCATTTATCAGTTTGACAGAAATTCAGAACGCACGGGGTATTATGGATGTCCTTGCCGAAATGCTAAACGCATTAGATCCTGGAAACAAGCAGGTATATGTCTGCAATTTGAAATGTAGAGAAAAGGAATGGGGTTTACTAGTGACTTCAATATTTTGTTTATTTGCTAGCATAGTAATGGGGTTTCCTAGTGACAAGTCCTTAATTGGATTTAAAGTGACTACTGAAGTCTTAATATAATTGAGATTTGTGTAATAATTTGGTTGGCAATTCTCAAATTTGTCAGATTGTGAACCAGTCTTTCAGTGTAAACTTTATGTTTTTCTGGCTCTTATAATGAAAATTTTTCAAAAGTTCATGATTTCCCACTGCTAATTCCTCTAATAATCTTGTTATTGCATGTTGTGTTTTTATAAAGTTCATTTTCTATTTGCATGTTTACTGATCTTTCTTCTACAATTTCAGGGACTTAGTCAGGAGGTGATTGTTGACTTAGTGGAGCAGTGCCGTAACTACAAACAAAGAGTTGTACACCTTGTTAATTCAACATCGTAAGCACTCTCTTTCTTTTACCAATAACTCCCTAGTGGCCCTTAGCACCTTTGTATATGTCGATCACTTGATGTTATCATCTGTTTTCATGGCCCTGACATTCTTTTCTCTGTGGGTTTTTTGATGCATTACTTGGTCCTTCAGGTGATTGTGCCAGTATCACTTGTTAAAATGCTTGACCAAAAAGAGGGAGTGAAATCCTGAGGAGTGTTGAGATCAAAGGATCTTGCTATTTTATTCAATTATATTCTTCTTGGTGCTATGGTGACTAGATGCCAGAGCAGTCTGTAAAGGATTTGATTTGTTTTCTATTCATATTTTTGCTCAAACCTCTCTATGAGTACTCGATGAATAACTTCATGATCATTTCTATTCAATTTCTGTATGATATTGTCACTTATTCTGGCATGTTTGGCATATGAGTTGCATTGGGAGTTAGTTTCTAACCTCTGTGGCATAGTAGAAGGAATTATGTGAAATATTTTTTACATTTAAAACTCATATCACCTTTGTTTCTCTATTTCTTGTAGGGATGAGTCACTTCTATGTCAAGGGTTAGCATTGAATGATGATTTGCAGCGCATACTAGCAAAGCATGAAGCAATAGCTTCAGGAACTTCTTCTCAAGCGGACAAACCTAAGCCTGAAGCAGCAAGAAAACTTGTGAATGTCGATGGTCCCCTAGTTGATACTGGGGATAGCAGCAAGCAGTCAGAGGGGAGGTAATTATGCCTTTTTGAACTGGTTTACCATATGCAGGGATCTGGTGATTAAAATTCTTGGTGTTTTGTGTTACTATAGAAATGATAGAATATCCTAAGAATGGTAGCTTCATTTATGTGTGCTGCATTACCCTTCTTGCCCTAAGCATTACTGGTTTTAATCATGCTATTTTGTCCTCAGCATCCTGGAACTTGGTTACAAGTTTCCTTCATCAATTTGATTTATTTGTTTTGAGGAATCCTTGGTAGAATTTAGTTGCTGGGTTTTTTGAAATAAATACCTTGTTGAAAAGGTGCTTGATTATGTTGAAGTGGAGACCTTTTGAACATTTTTGAGATCTAGTGGTTAATAGTGTATTTCTCCGTGTGAGTGGTGATGATTTGCTTATCAAATTTTAGGTTGCTAGGATTGACATTGAAATTCATTTAGTTCAAGGTTATCTGAAACCCTTGATCAGATGTTTCCAGTAGCTTGAGCTTTAACTAACAAAATTTCTTTGCAGATCCACCGCAAGCAATGGTGCAAGTTCGCAACCATTTAATCAGTTATTGCTTCCTGCTCCTCCTGCAACTAATGGTTCAACTCCTCTGGCAGCAGTCAATCCCAAAATGGACCTGCTTAGTGGTGATGATTACAATTCACCAAAGGCAGATAATTCACTGGCCCTTGTTCCTGTGGGAGAACCACAACAAACAACTCCTGCATCACAGCAGAATGCCCTTGTTCTCTTTGATATGTTCTCTGATGGTAACAACACCTCCAATTCTGCTAGCACCCAGTCTTCAGGTTGGGCTGGACAAACCAATCCTTTGACTCCTCAAATTCAGCAGCAGCAGAATTTTCATGCGAATGGAGCTGCACCAAACATGGGATCACCTCGATATGAGCACTCATATGCTCAAGGCACAGGTCCTGCCTGGAATGGTCAGCTGGTTCCACAACAGCAGCCCTCCTCACCTGTCTATGGTCCGTTTCTGTTTATAATAGGCTTTTTATGCATAACTAGAGAATTTTACTTTTGGCACAGACCGTTTGCTTTCCAGATTTCACTCTGGGAAATCATTAATATACATCGTCATGGTCTTTTGCTCTCACCAAATTCATTTAGTGGCGTTCTAGGTTTCTGTGGCTGGCTAAATAGTTATTTTCTTGCTGCTACAACTTTAGAATTTACAAAGCTTACTTTTTGCATGTTGAGAAGGTGCCCAGAGTAGTGGCTTGCTACCACCACCACCCTGGGAAGCACAGGCAGCAGATTCTAGCCCAGTTGCAGGTGCTCAGTATCCTCAGTCAATGGTTACTCAAGTTAGTGTGACACATGGCCAACCTCAAGGACCTCAACATATGAGAAGTGATCAGGTGGTGGGTATGTACATTCAGCCAATCACAACCGGTCATTTGTCAGCAATTAATAACGAGGCTGTTCAGGGAAACCGGTTTGCTGGTTTTCATCCTCAACCAGTTCTGGGAGCACAGTATATGGGCATACTTCCACAGCAAATGGCTCCTATGTATCCTCAACAAATGTATGGCAACCAAATGGGAGCATATGGTTATGGTCAGCAACAATATCTTGATCAGCAAATGTATGGGCTATCCATCAGAGATGACAATGTCCTGAGAAACTCTTCCTACCAGGTTTCAACTTCGTCTTACATACCACCGAGCAAGCCTTCAAAACCAGAGGATAAGTTGTTTGGAGACCTTGTTGACATGGCAAAAATAAAATCAACGAAAACCACTCCTGGAAGAGCTGGTAGCATGTGAACCTGAAATTTGATTTTTTTTGTTTTCGGATTTTTTATTTTACATTTTTTAATGGCTAACTTGTTTCCCAATTTTCTTTTCTTTTTTTATTTTTAATTTCTAATATATATATATTCTTCACCATTCTCTTGACTCATATTTTGTGTTGCATGTTTGGCATTGGAATCATGTACATTTCCCTGTAGAGAAAATGGAAAGATCAACTCGTTTGGGTTAGGTTGATTTTTTTATTTTTTTTTTTTGTAATTTGGTTCTCTCTCTCTCTCTCTCTCTTTTTTCTTCTTTTTTGTCTTACTTATTGAAATTTAATTTTTATTGTAATATAATGTATATGTCGAATTTCTTTCCAAGTTTTAAAGCTGTTAGTCATAAATTTCTGTAGGCCTTTTTTTTACTTTGTTAAGGCTATGTAATATTTTACTTCCTGGAATTTGCGATTGGCTTATTGAATTAGAGGATTGTCTAGAATTCTATTTAAATGGCACTGGAAAATATTATGGAATTTGTCTTCTCGTTCATACCATGCATTCTTGAGTTCTTGTGCACAGTTTGCCTTGCAGAAAACTCCTTATATTTGGTTGATATACATAATATGTACATTATGCTTAGCCGATGTTCCAGCTCAATCATTTAACTTTGTATATTGTTTATACACACTTTTCTTTTCCATCTCAAACTGGTAACTGCAATGGTGGGCTTTGTAAGTTTTAAATTAAATTTTTGTCCATGGAATCATGCACGACAAATTCTGTCATTCCTTATGCAATCCAAGCAATCTTGATAGACCAAAACCCATGGATTTCTAATAACAAGTTGGTTGGGCGTAACATCAGATTGTTGTTAAAGAAAATTCCTCTCGTCCAATTGGGAAGGGGATGGCTGATTACTTAAACCGAGCAAATCGGCAAAACAGAGACACATTTCTTCTATCTTCTCTTTTCTAATCACAAATTAAGACACACATATTACACAAAGTTGAGATCTAATTGGCTAGCCAGCCAGCAGCTTATTCTACATTCTACATCGGTTAAGGACTAATGAGGGAATTAAACATTCAGAATCCCGAATTTAATTCAAACATTTGAGATCATAAAGATGATACCGCCATAAAATTTAATAAAAGCTTTCCATATATGACATAGGGTGAGAGATCATTGATATGAATAAGTAAATGTGCAGAAGTAGAACAAAAAAAAAACCCTTAAACAAGAAGCTTGCTTTAACTTAATTTTTGGCGACACAAGAATGAAGCATATTCAGAAACTGAAGAGATTCAGGCCATTTGGCAAAACACATGGGGTTTAAGTTTCTAGATGCCAATTTATATTGCTCTTGCTTCTCATCAATCGACAATAGCAGCATTTATCATATCATAATAAACAATGAGAAAATTATTAACCCTTACAGATTTCAAGTTCAGAATGAAACTGCACTCCATTTTGATAAAAATTGTCCATTAACAACCATTAACAAAGGGTGCTGTCATAAAGGCATGGAGATACCTGCAACATTGAAGACAACAAAGATCAGAACAAGTAGTATGTTCTTGTAACAGATCATTACTCTCAAGTGCCAAACATTCATAATAAAAAAAAGAACAATATAAGCAAGATATTCATTGTCTTTAAGATTGTTAGATCAAATTTGCAATGATATATATAGTTCAGGCTTCTTGAGAAAATGAACTATCACCAAGGCATATGCCCTTACCAGTGAATGCTCGAGGGCAATACAAACGCATGCTGTATGCAGAACATTATAAATCCAAACGTATACAGAAAACTTCTTAAGAAAAGTAAAATATACGATTCAATAACAGTAGCTGAAGCAAATGCATAACCTTAGATGCATCATAGCCAAATTAGCAGCAAACTTTAAAAAGCTTATCTAAAGATTAAAATTTTGCTTTAATCAGTCCATTTTTGTATTACTAAGCTTTAGTGCTGGCACATTGGATACCACAAACAAAAATCATTGGACAAGAGAGAGACCTTGAGGAATCAAACCCCAACCCTGAGATTCTACAGCAAGAAATGATCGGAGGCGAGCCGAAGCTACTGCACTGTGTAATGGCATCATTGAGATTAAGCAGCTCAGCTCCACTGGTAATCTAAAATCCCATGCAAATAAGGGGAAAAGAAACACTGTTAACTTTGTAAACGCGAATTTATCCATTTCACCTTCCCTGAATCTCATTTCTCTCAGAAATCAAACTAAGGGAAAAGACACGTAGCAAATTTTAAAGCCCAAATCTTTTACTTGTGAAAAAGCTCACCTTGAAATCCCAGAAATGCGCCTCACTGAAGAAGAAACCTGAGACTGAGAGCTCGAATTCAATGGAGAAATCGTGGGTAACACTGATTTGCTGCATTTAAGCTTGAAAGGAAGAGCCTTTACCCGAGGCGATGATAATCTCGAGAGAATCGTCAAACCAGCCATTAAAACCTGTTTGATTTTTCCTTTCCTTTTGGATCTAATTCCTAGGTTGCTGTTACGGAGGGGTTTAAGCCTTTCTAATTTCTAGGGTTTAGGCCACAAATTCCTTGTTTGGTTACGCATCTTGGATCATCCCACTAGAGTCCTAACTTATTCGGGTCAGGTCAAGCTTCAATCACCAAAGGGCAAGGGAGATTCCAATAAGCTCGCCTTTTCTTTTTCTTTTCTTTTTTTTTTTCTCTTTCTTTCTAATTATCAATTATCGTTTTAAATTAATTTTGGGTGTAAAATTGTTAACAATTTACTTTTTTTGTCTCTCAATTTTGCAGCTATCTGTCACACTGATATATAAATATATAATATTTTTTTAATTACTAGAAATCCAGGGAGGAGAAATTGGACTATAGTTTCAGAAGTTAAGAATAAAAGTCAGTAACCTTACAATCTTCTATATAATTCAATACTCTGCTCTACAACATGTTTTGTGGAGGCTAACATTTAATATTATTTCTTTTGATTCAAAAATTTTATAATTTTATTTTATAAAAAATGTCACATAGATATTGAATTTAAATCTCTAATTATATGTTATAATAAATTTTAAAACACCTTAATACAAGATTAGGAGATCACATGTTTTATTGGAAGAAAATAATCAATTATTTTATGTCATATAATAATAATAATAATAATAATATTATTATTATTATTATTATCCCATTTTTTATAAGTCTAGAGATTATTAATATGTGAAATATAATAATTCAAAGATGCTCAATTGAGAATTTAATTTTTTTTTTGTTTAAAATTTTTTTATGTTCTATAATCATTTTAGATCTTAATTAATCTGAAATTGAATTGGATCGAATTTTATAAAAAAATAATTTTTTTTAAATTTATTTTTTTCATTCACAATATTCAAAACCAAAACCTTATTTAAGGAAAATTAAACTTCGTAATCTCTCTCGTACAGGCAAAAGAGAGTTGCCTTGATATTTTGAAGAATGCATCGAGCACTGCTTGGACTCCCCAGTCTGTTTGTAAGGCCATAATAACTTTGATGGCTCATCCAGAACCTGACAGCCCGCTTAATTGCCATCTCCCCACAGTATCCTCATTGCTCTTCCCATTTCTATTGTTCTTGCTACCTTGTAAGTAAATTAGAGATGGAATTGGAATTGTTAGCGTTTTCTTTGGGCTTTGATATATCAGCACCTGTATTGGCTAATATAAAGTCTATGGTACTTTGAGCTGCTTTTCTTTTTGCTTTTATCCCTAAACAAACACCTTTCCTACTTGCGGACGGGCAATCTTTTAAGGTGTGGTGATATCAGAGAATTCCAGTCTATGGCAAGAATGTACACCAGACTTGCTGCCATGACCAAAAATGGGTGAACTTAAGGTGCTTTAAACTGCTTTAAACGCTGGTTATTATCATTGGTTCACTTGTTGTGCTTTTCAAACATTCATATAGAAATTAATTCAAGAATATTTCCAGCTTTTCTGATCCAAAATATAGATTCTAGCTCTACCTTCTCTATGTGCAGCTTTTTTCTGTGGCAATAAAACAACATTGATTTTCATCTTTAGGTGATGTTGTTTGTTCATATAGAAGAAAAGGCATTTATGATTGAAAGGTCAAGTCCATTATCAAAATAAATCAATCAGCAACGTTCTCAAGTTTAATAGAGATTGATTTAATAAATGAACGGAACTGAAAGAAAGATAGGCATCAAATTAGAACTTAGAACCAGAAGCAGTATTGATTGTCATTAACGAAAAACACACAACAAAGTCAACCGATTTAACCTATTATTGAGAATATCTTAGTGGATTTACAACTGCTGGCAAATTGTTTTCAATTGCACATTTTTTTCTTAATTTAAGTCTAGTTAGAGAGAGTATTGTGCAGATAATTGTTAGGGATATTTTTGAGTTAAAAAGATAAATTAATATTTTCTTTCATTAAGAGACTATCAGCAAATAATCATGGGTATTTTTTATTTATGGAATATGAAGTAACTAAGCAAGTAAAGAATTTGAGTTGCTAGAAATGTTCTATTGATACGGGAAGAAAAGCAAGAAAGAAAGAGGCCCAGTGGTGTTAAGAAGGGGCAAAATGGGCTGAATGGGTTAGTCTAACATATTGTTATTTGTTGGTGCATCTTTCCACTAATTTCTAAAACTGCAAAATGCACATGTTGAACTTGTGTGAGTTCTTTAATGTTGCCTAAATGCACGTACTCAATTTGATCTCTTTGCTGTCAATTTGCAAAAGAAAGTCATTTGTTAACTTGATGTAGTATACCTGAATCCATGTCCTTGTGATGCAGAACGATAATAAGCAAATTGAGGGGTTAGCTTACTTTTGATTTTATTTTGTTACTCTTGTTGTATTTATGGGGCTAATTATAATATTTGCTTATGTTCTATTTCTTCTTGGTTGTATAATGCAATCAAGGAACCCTATTTGTGAAGCTTAGGTTATCATTCTTTTCTGTTTTTCTTTTATTTGTTCAATTTGCCTACTTCCTTAAGAAATTCAGATTATAATTTAGCTTAAAACTCTACCCCCCCCCCCCCCAAAGCTGTCCCGCGTCACCTTGCTTTAATTTGGCCAGTTGTTGCATAAGCTGTTGTAAATAATTCGTGTATGTCTTTAAGAGTGGAGCAGAACTATATTCTAAACGACAGAAACTATGATCCTAACCTGATAATTCAGTTTTAATAGGAGGATCAAATATTTATACTTGTCCTTCTCCTATGACAGACATTCATTCTATTGGATTTACAAATACTCCTATTTCCTTGTAGCATACATGCCACATTTGAGCCTCCTTGATGCTGACCTGACAGAAGAAGAGAAGAAGAAAGCTCAAGAAAAAGCTAATATACTTGATAAAAGCATTGGCAGCCTGAGCTTCCAGATAAGTCGCCTTGCATTGTATAAGACAGATACTGAGGACAAAACTCTCAAATCCTGGGAGAAGGTTGCTGAATGCAATCTCAGTCCCACTTAGCTCTTTCTCTTCCGATGCTAGTGCAAATAGCACCTATAAGATTTTACCATATAATCTCTTTTCTTACAAGGGATATAGGTTGTAACAAGACTGACCATGTAATGAATAATAATTTATCTGTGCTGATTCTGAGTAACTACTATGAGTTATGATGAAGATGCCATATTTATGTTATTGATAATTAGATGTTTTTAAGGTTGCATGCCTTGAGAACTGCTGCTAGCCAAAAATAATCTAGGCAATTTGCCAAGTAGACCTGCTGCTGCTACTTATTTGCATACTTAATTACTGTAAGTTGTGTTCTATTTTGTTTATTGGGGGTCAATAAAAGTTTGCTTAAACCAATACCTAATTAATTTATAGAAGAGAAGCACTGGTCTTGTGGAGCAAGTTTCCCTTAATAGGTAGCATGTGATTATGATTAAAATTGACATTAACAGTTAATAATTAGATGACATGTACATGCAGGCAAGGCATCAGAGAACATGTCAAGAAATGTCTGATATGGTTTTCTGATTAGTTGGAAGAAAACAAAACCCAGAAGGGCAAGCATGTAAAACAACCCATCTAATATGGCTAAAATTATAGATTTAAGAATGGAAAAGAGAAAAATATATGAAAGGAATAAAAGGAGTTTTCATTTCATTGTCTAAATTGGATGAAATTGCATGGTTATCAAGCGTTCTGTTGACAATTTGAAGACTGATATATCTTCTATTACAAGAGATCTAGAAAGCTAACAAAATTCAACTCTCATAATTCCTTATTCATGATCTATATTAATGAACTTTCCCTGGAAAACATTAACTAAAGTGGAACTTAGTTATTAATGAACAAACGGGGAATATGAATCTCCACAAATCCAAGTTCAAATGTTTTATCCAAAAACGTTGACATTGGAACAGAGGTTTTTCACAGCTTGACCTAGAGCTTGGATCCTGGAATAGCTAGCTTTTCTGCATACCTTTCCTAAGGTAAAGCACCCAACATCATTGGACTGAAACAACCCAACCAGAAAGAAAAGAATGATCCCAAAATGTGTTCAAACTGCAAAAGCAACTTGATGGTTGAAGTGATTCCCATTACTAATTTCAACTACCAGGAAGGCAACAAGGAAAGAACTATGGAAACATGTAAAACAGATTCAGAATAGTGGTGGCCTAAATTCAGGTTTGGTCCAAAAGTTTTCTTGTGATACTTATCCTTTTATTTTTTTTCTATCACATGTTGTGAATGACATAAGGCCAATAGTCGACACAACAGCTTGTTTTATTATCTCAGGATAATCATGAATAAGCTTGAATGGACAGTGAACCTTGTCCAATTCCGTCAAAACGCCGTCTTGATTTCACAAATACCACTCTGGTTTTTTCAACTCCCTTACCATGGTTTTAATAAAAGCTTAAAAAAAACGCATCCAAAAGCATCTATTCATTAATCAAAACCCACTTGCAACTTTGAATGATGTGAACCTTTTCTTCAACTGATGATTATTCAACTTTCGAACATGCGAGATGTCATACAATATCACGATGATTTGATCATGTCACTATCTCATTTATAAATTTTTAACCTTTTGTTTATAAAGAGATTCATTTAAGTATTATTTAATTAATTTAATTTTTTTTTACTTTTTTAGTTGTTTCTCTAATTAATCTTTTTGGTTCAATTTTAAATTTGAGAATCCAAGCATAAACATAAAAAACACTTTTTATTTTTATTTTTAATCACTTTCTCTCTTTCATGATTTTAAGGTTCTTAATCCCTACTTGAAACTTGACACAAAAAATAATTTTTCATAAATTTTTTTTTACTTAGATAATTTGAAAGTTAATCTTGAATATTAACTCTTTCCCCCATGAACAAAAAGGAAAAAAAAATTATGGCAAATTAATGCTAATTACTCAACCTAACCAGCTAACCCCAGGGATTTAGGTCACCTTCAAACTAGCTCTCTAGCCTCAAACCAAAACCTAAATGCCTCATAATAAAAGTTCGACATTGATGAACTGCTTTAATTAATTTCTGGTCTGTTACCAAACCCATATCCAACTAGTTTTTTCGTCTCTCAAATAATTCTCCATAATTTACTTTGCAACCCCCCCCCCCCCCCCCCCCATGCATGCCACTTGCAGCTTCTCAAGGCTCGACCAAGAAGATACATTTCAAGCTTCTTTTATGACCAAGATACGAAACGAAGTAACAACCTTCCATGCATGCATTA